CATAGGCATGGTGAAACCATATTCCTTGATATCAGATGTATTGTTCAAGCTGCTCACATTATTTCGTGATGAATTTTGGGGTACCTTGTTCTATTTTGAGGTACCCTGAAACGCTTTATGGGTTTGTGAAAAGCCATATGGTCAAAATGAATTCAAGGTTTCAAGTTGAAATCACTTCGCTTCGTTATAAACAGCGTTCCCAGACAACGAACCCGTGATCCACATCGCGACTCGACAAGCGACTCGGAAGATTGAAATCAAATGTCAATGCATGTCTCGTGCATTCCAGCACACCCGTTCGGCATTGCACCTTCACGTAACCTGCTTTGCGCTTCTTCCGTAATCACCAAGAGCCGTACGAACCATCACCAGCGCACTGGCAGCACCACCAACACCATTTCGGCACTCTCGCTCATCTGTTCATGTGTCGGGTCGGACCCGTCCTGTTCGTCGTTAATGTAACGTTAATGACTTTCAGTAATGGTGTCAAGACATCCTTCGGCTTAGTTCAAATGGTGCCGCTTTTCCAGCAGATTTACGTACTTCACATAAAGTACTTCACTGGTGCATTGTGAAGGCCGGTCCCTCAACGATCCCAGCCACGCAAAGCTAACTTAGCACGATGTCGAACAGTTTGCTAGGCGCCTCATACAAAGCTCTGGAGCCCCTTGCAGTCGCGGAGTAAACTGTACGGGCCTCTTTCATCGTCTAGATGACAGTGGTAGGTGGATCGCCGTGCGTCGTTGGCGGTGACGGCGATTCCAGCAACGAAGAGAGCAGTAGCGACGGGGAAGGGTCGGAAAGAAAATCAGGCATCAAGCGCTGCACGGTCGTCACTTGCTACAGCCTGCCGTGGCTCTTGCATCGACGGCTGAGACTGCGAAAGAAGCAGCAGATTAGCAATCACACGAATACTAACCATCCGTTTTATCGCCGCTGTCTCTATTCGCTGCGCGACGATGCGGCGAACACGGGGATGCGGTTCTACGTTGCGCCTACGGAGGGGGATGTGGCAGAGGCGGAGCAATCCAAAAGCCAACTGGAAGGGAAAAAAGAGCCAGAAAGGGGGCGTGGCTTGGCGGAGAATGAAGTCATAGGTGTGGTTGAACTGGGCATACCCAAGGGACTTCTGAAGCAAGGAAGCATTGGCACGAAGAATGGTTCTTTCTCGACGCACCCAATCCCCAACGACGACCCGAGCAACAAGCCTTCCATAAAACCCTCCCCCGGCCTCCCGCCGGCTGCGCCCACTACCTCCCCGATTTCCCCACAATCCAACGTCTCCAGCAGCAGCGAGTCACCGTCCGATTCGGAGACTCCGCGCCCACCACGGGCGTCCATTTCTATTTTTTCGCGCCTCTCCTCGGACTCTGGTGGCTCGCTGCTCGAATCTCGCCGGTCCGCATTGGAGGCGCTTCCATCGCCAGCGCGACACGACGCTCCATCCGTCACCCCGGGAATCGCGGCGACGCAACCGTTAACTACCGCGGGCGTGGGCCTGCCGACTGCAGCATTGACCCCGGCGGCGGCGGCGGCGGCGGCGGCGGCGGCGGCGGCGTCGGCGACCGAACGAGAGGGGAAATCCGCGGTGGGGCAATCAACTGCGAGCTCTACTACAGGCAGTAGCTGCTGGACCGCCTCGGAATGCGAACCCAGCTGTTCCGAATCGACGGATGCCGTCGCGCCTATAGCGCAGCCATGCACGATCGCCGACGCGCTGCTGTTTGATCGCAATGTGACTGCACGCAGATGGGAGGCCGGCAGTACCACCACCGGCAGTTCGAGCTGTTCTGACAGCGTCCCCGTGGCGTATCCGCTAGATAGCGATTACTCGTCGGAAGGAACCTCCCCGCTGGATGATTCGCGGTTAATAACTCGCAGTTTTAGCGAGAGATGTGGCTGTAGGAGCGGCCCGAGAAGCGGCAGGTGGCGCGCTGTGCCTCGTCTCAGCGCCGATTTCAGCAGCAGCCCGGCGGCCTCCCTGCATCTTCCGCGCACAGCGCTTCCCCCGGAGCTTCTGGCGGTCGTCCCGCGCGGCGGAACGGAACCGATTTCCGCTGGTACCGCCGAACGGAGCAGAACGGTTATAGCACGCACCCTCCCACTTGCAAGGGTTCCGCCACTTGGAAGTGCCGCGCAAGTGAATCGGCGAATTCAGAGGCGTTTTACCTCCCCGGGCCGGCCTCAGACCGTTGCTCGCGAAACACCGTTGTTGGACGGCGAAGATCGCGTGTTCGCCTCTCGGATATTACCCGATCGACGGTCACCGAGTCGCCTCGAACGAGTGAGAATTATTCGGACTGCGAGAGAAGATTCTTGCCCCATACCACACGGGTCGTCTTCTCCTGCGCTCCTCGCGCGAAACGCGAGCGAGCGGGCAAGCTTGCGGCGGGTGGCGGCAGAAGGCGGAAGGGACCGTGGCGGTGGGGGGAAAGCCCTAGCAGATGTAGGGGAGGGCGGAAGGGAGACGCTCGTTGGAGACGCGGCGTTGAGGCTTCTGATGGCGGGGACGGGGTCGAGCGCGGGGATGAAGGTTGGCGGATTTGACGGGGAGAGAACGGTTCCGCGCACGCCGCAAAGTGCGAAGGTCGTTTTCCCCTTCCGTGAGGGCCAAACGAGGCTCGTCGCGGGGCACACTGGTTTCCATCCTATTTCGCCAAACAACCTTCGTAAGCCCTCGCGAAACCCTTGTCCCAAATCGCTGAGGCGAAGCACGTCGTCAAGCGCCCTGAAAAGCACTTCCTTGAAAACGCCGGGAAGCGCGGGGAGGTGCCACAGGAGAAGCACAAGTGCGGCCTCGGGGCGAGCCGAGACGGATAGCAGGCAGAAGGCCAGCAGCGCACAAGGAGAACGCGAGAACAACGTGAATGAGGGTGTTGTGGCCGCTCTGGACTTGGCTGGTTCCCCAACCTCTGGCTTTTATACCACTCCTCAGCTTCTTTGTCGGGCTTCTAAGCAGTGCAGTCTCAGCAGCCCTTCCAGGCAGCTGAAGCATGGGAGATCCAAGGGGCATAACCTGGGAGTCAAGAGGCCAGCCATGCCCTTTGACCATTCGAACGAGGAGGAGGAGGCGAATTCGGAAGAATGGCGCATCAAGGGCTGTGTTGCGGGCGATTCGGGGATTGGAATGCCCAGTGCACGACGCACTTGCACGATAGCAGCGGCAGGATTCTCCAACAAACAAGACCAGCAGCAACTGCCACCAGAGTGCAAGTCAGTGAAATGGCGTGGCGCCCCGCTAAGGCTTCCCATGCCTGACTCCAGCGTTCAATTTCCCTGGGGTGATAGCTCCCTCGATCAGTCTCCCTGGGATGATTGTTCTCTATTAGACAATTTGCCCACGTCTTGCCCCACGGCAATCCAACACAGACAGGTCCCAGCCTTATCTAATCAAGAACCATATGCTGGGAGTGGGTCATGGAGACTACCCATTGCAACTGACGCTGCCTCCGGCCACAGCTATGGTGACGGTGCACTGAAGGGTTGCATGCAGCCATCGGAAGAAGCAAAATGCCAAAGCACGGAGACTGGAGAAGTGAAGCTGAAGAGTGTAAGTGAGAGACGGGTCTCATTCAGCAAAGTGATCCAAGTCAGGAGGATTATAACAGATTGTAAGGGAGATGAAGAGAGTAAGATGATGAATTAGGAAGAGAAGGAATTCATTATTACCAGAGTGAATACTCTTCATCTTTTGTTGCACCATATTGAGAGCTGAACAATGATACTGGGCGAAGAACGACGTTTCAACAGTCTCGGGTTGTGGTTGCCAATAAACAGCTGAGTGGGGTGGGGAGGGATGAGTTGAAATTTCGAGAGGTGGGGAGGGATAATTTATATTTCTGGTATCTGAACTGAACCATTTTCTCTTCCGATTTGTTTGGACACACGTGATCCACGTCCAAGGGCTGTGGTGTTGGTGCAAGCCGGTGAGAGTGGGACACGCCATCGCGCTTTCCGCACCTCATTAGCCACGCAGCGACACGTCCCACACGTTCAAAGTGAACCGCAATGTGTTGGCGGACTTGGCTGCGGGGGTTGGCCCTAGCATAAGTGGCATACACTGTAGCTATGCCAATACCACGTGGCGAGTGCATTTCGCGCGTATTACGGGTTCAGGGCGGAGGTGTTTCGCGGGCAAGGCTGTTGCTGGCACCGCACGCGATTGACGAACCTTGCTAGCGAGGCTGGTGATGCTGACACTATGTGGAGCTGCTGCGTATCAGCGACAGGCCTTGCACACTTGCTCCCAGGCGGTGCCGAATCGCATGGTTTTGGATGAAATGTTATTGCGACGAATCGAATGTACTGTAGCTGTTTCGTGAAGTAACCCGATGTTTCCACAAGCTCAGTAGGGGCCCTAGAGCACATCACCACGTGAATGCAACATTTCGCAATGCTCGCCCATCCACTCGCCTCACCTCGCCGCCTCACCAAACAGGAGGACTCGGTCAGGTCTCATGCTCATTCCAAGCCATATCCAAACCAAACCAAGCCATGACCGTTTTGCTCCAGCTGTCTCTTTGCTACCCCTCACCCTCACTTGGCTAATTCCTCCTGCACCCCCAAAACATCCTCGACCATGACCAGGGGGGCACCATCAGCAGCTGCAAGGAGAACTGAGCTGAGCCAACCTCTCTGGCCAAGCTGCTGTGGTGATCGTTGGTGCATTCAAAATCACCAGTGGGGAGTCCAGCAGTGGCGGCGCAGGCCTCCAACAGCTGCAACGTGGCAATTCGCCGCAGTTGTACTAGAAGCCACCTGGTAGTACGTTACTGCGTCACGCAGCCCACCTAGAGCTGCTAACGTGTCACTTGATTTCACTCGGGGAGGAAACGATACGCTACTGCGACACTAACCCCACCTAGAACTGCTTATGTGTCAGTTGATTGGGGAGGAAACGACGCGGCGCCTTTTTTCACTCTCCCAGACCAGCTCGATAAACAGAATTGTTCTTTCTAGGTCGAGTACAGGCGGCTGATCAGTCGTGCTGGATGGGGGTCATGGCAGCGAGAATTCACATCCACGTGTCGCCACCTGATTCGCCGCTCGACCTCTCGAGCCTCTCTTTCGCTCTATCCAGCCCAAAATCTAAGACACCAGAACCACAATTGCTACCACTCTCAGCCGCTCCACCTTCTCCGCTAGCGGCGGCGGCGGGCGCGGTGCCTCCGGGCGCCGTAGCCCTGACCGGCGGTTGCGGGCAGAAGTCTTTAAAGCAGTCGCTATGTGCCGCGGTGCTGCGGCTTGTGCAGGAGGGCGTGGAGAAGGACGGGTACGGCAAGCAAGCCGTCGAGGCGCTGGGGCGACACTTCGCGTCGCTCCCTTCGCGGTACGCGCGCTTCGTCTTCCAGTTTTCACGGCACGCGCGCTCGCGTCGGTGTATTCTTCATCTTTTTGTCACACTCTTGCCTATCCTTGATTCTAATTTCCTTCGCCGCCTCACCGTGCCCCCACTCGACTCCCCTTTGCGGGCCCCTCTCCGCTCCCCATTCCGGCCCCCTTCCTGCTCCCTTCTCCTACTTTCCCCCCTCCTCTTCCCCACTTTCTGCTCCCCACTCCGGCCCTCTATGTCCCCCACCTACGCGTACACACGCCCGCCAGGTACGCTCTAAGCGTCGACCCGCACCGCCATGATGACGTCATGCTGCACATGCGGTTGATCAACGAAGTGCGCGACGCGAACCAGTCGGACCGCGACCACGGGCCAATGGTGTGCGTGCGACGCGTGTGGCTGGGAGCCGCAAACCTGCCGTCCAATCCCAGCACGCCAACACCACGCGCCGCTGCCGCCGCCAGTGGCGCTGCTGACAGAGACATTTCTGGGCAGTCGGAACAAACGAAGCAACAGCGACGGAAGTCGAGCAGCCAGCCGCGTCGCATTCCAAAGCCTATATTCGGTTCCTCCGCCGCCCTCTCGTTGCTCTACGTTTGCAGCCCCACAGCGGCCGCAATGACCGCCGCAAGTAACGCCGCCACATCCGCCGGCGGAACTTCAGGATCAAACGGCGGCTCTGGTAACCAGGTGACGAGGCAACTGTCAGGAAGCGGACGGACAGGTGGCCAATTCTCATTGGCTGCGTGCGTCAACGCGAGCAGCGGAGGTGGGATGCGCGGAGAGCGGGGTGTGCCTGCGCCCGTGCCAATTCCGAGACGGAAATCGGGTGCTCAACTTATAACGGGTACAAGAGGTTCCGCCTCCAGCCTTGAGGGAAGGAGCGCGGAGCGGGGTTCAGGATGCGCGCTTGGGGAGGCCGAGGGGGACGGCGCGCGGGGGAACGAGCAGCGGGGACTGTACGGGCGGAATGGGGGGGCGGCATTTGACGAATTTGGGGGGAAAAGTGCAGAATCGGGGAGTCTGGGAGGAGGCATAGGGTCGTTTGGGTCCTACGATCAAACGAGAAGCGCGGGTTCGAGTCTCCACGGCGACACTCTGGATGAAAACGAGGATGGCGCAGGGAGAGGCGAGAGGGGAGGGTACGGGTGGGAGGTGACGGTGGCAGCTCCTGATAGGCCGGGGTTGCTGACGTGTTTCACGAGCGCGCTGGGGAATGCGGGGCTGGAGTGGAACATCAGGGAGGCGCATGTGTTCAGCAGCAGTGATGGCATGGCGCTGCAGGTGTTTGTGGTGGCTCCCGATGGCGACCACCCCTTGCATGATGATGTGAGTCGCACCGCATGGGCATGGGCTGATTCACTGCATGTGGGAGTCGCATGTGAATGCATGTGGGATGCATGTTGTGACTTGAGGTGAAATACCTGTCCTCCTTTTCTGTTTCCGCCACTCTGCCTCCCTCATTATCCTTCCGCCTTCACCCGTTCCTTGTTGATCCTTTTCTCGGGCCACTCATTTCCCTGTCCGCTCCTCTTCATCCCCAGACGGTGGAGCTACAGGAGGCGGTGCAGGAGCTGCTGCGCGCCAAGTGGAAGGACCACGTGGCAGTGGCGGCGCGCACAGCAGAGCAGGTGCAGCTCAGCAACGTGCGCGCCGTCGTGGACGCTCTCGCATACGAGGACTGGGCCGTGGACTACAGCGATGTGAGTGTGGCGCTTGTGACTTTAGCGAGGGAGGGGCTACTGTGATGCGAGTAACGTGAGATTCTTACAAGTTGACCCTAGAGGCGCAGAGGCGGAGAGCAGGTGCAGCTGAGCAGCCTGCTGGCCGTGGTGGATGCTCTCGCATATGAGGGCTGGCCCGTGGACTATGGTGATGTGAGTGTGCTCTGTGTGACTATATGGCGTATGACTGTAGTGAGGGTCAGAGGCGTAGAGGCGGAGAGCAGGTGCAGCTGAGCAGCCTGCTGGCCGTGGTGGATGCTCTCGCATATGAGGGCTGGCCCGTGGACTATGGTGATGTGAGTGTGCTCTGTGTGACTATATGGCGTATGACTGTAGTGAGGGTCAGAGGCGTAGAGGCGGAGAGCAGGTGCAGCTGAGCAGCCTGCTGGCCGTGGTGGATGCTCTCGCATATGAGGGCTGGCCCGTGGACTATGGTGATGTGAGTGTGCTCTGTGTGACTATATGGCGTATGACTGTAGTGAGGGTCAGAGGCGTAGAGGCGGAGAGCAGGTGCAGCTGAGCAACGCGCGCGCCGTAGTGGACGCACTCGCATATGAGGACTGGGCCGTGGATTTCAGTGATGTGAGTGTGATGTGTGTGCGACTGTAGTGAGGGGGGTTTGGCGCGTGACTGTAGCAAGGGGCTGCTGTGATGTTGACTGGCGTGTGATTCTTACGAGTTGACACTAGAGGCACACACAACGAAGCACATGCAACTGAACAACATGAGGGCCGTGGTGTCAATCTCTCTCCCTCTCCCCACCCCCACCCCTCTCCTCTCCCCTCTCAGCTGGCCCTGGGGGAGAAGCTAGGCGGGGGAGCGTCAGGGCGGCTGCTCAGGGGGACGTACCGCGGGCAGGAGGTGGCAGTCAAGGTGCTGCAGCTCGCTCCCCATGGGGGGGGCGCGCAGGGGGAGGGCGCGCCTGGGGGCGGTGCTGCTGGGGAGGGTGGGGAAGGGACGGGGGGTATGGGCATGGTGGGGGGCACGGTGTGTGGGACGCTGCGAAGTGCGACGGCCATGGAGCTGCTGCAGTGCTTCAAGCAAGAGGTCGCTATAATGAGGTGTGTTCTTACTCCCTCGTTCACATTTCCACGGGCTCTTGGTCTCCCACTCTCGCCGTCCTTTCCTCCAATCCAAGTCCTGTACTGAATTGAAGTTGCTATGGATAATTCTCAAAAGTCCTCTTTGTTTGCCCTTCTTCTTGATTCTCTACGTGTTTGCCACGTCCTTACCATGACACGCCACTACACACACTTCTGGCACGTCGTTCTGCCATCCCATCTCTCTGCCTTCCCCATCCTTCTGTATCCCTCATCCCCCCACAACTACCTTTTGAGTCGACTCAAAAGTAACCCTCATCCCCCCACAACTACCTTGCCCCAATTGTTGCTCTCTCCTGTCTCCGGTCGCTGGTATCTTCCTTACAGGATGGTTCGCCATAAGAATCTCGTGCAGTTTATCGGAGCCTGCTCGCACTGGCCGAGACTCTTCATCGTCACAGAGCTCATGGCAAAGGGAAGGTGAGCACTCGCCGTCCCACCTCTCCCCTCCCTCATCTCCTCTCAATCTCCTCTGTGTCGCTCTCTTCCTGCCGGTGCGCTACAGATTCTCCGCAACATGATCCAATTAACCTCGCTCATCTTCTCTCCTCGTGCCACCTATTCTTCCTTCCCTGTCACCTCCTCTCTCCATGCACCAGTGTGAGGGACGTCCTGGATCGTCACAGCGTCACCCTCTCCCTGCCGGCGCGCCTCAAGATCCTCCGGGACGCGGCGCGCGGGCTGGACTTTCTGCACCGGAGGGGCATCGTGCACCGCGACTTGAAAGCGGCGAACCTGCTCATTGACGAGAACGACGTGAGTGGGCATCCGAAGGGCCTGCTCTCCTTGCTGTGGCGCATCTGATCGCACCACTCTGTCTATCCTGGAGGAAGCAGCCTCCCTCCGGGCTGGACTTCCCCCACCAAAGGCGCATCGTGCACCTCCTGGCAGCCGGGAGGCCATTCGAGGCCCATTTCCTCTTACCCATCCTCTCTCTAACCCTTCTTCTGTCTAACTCTTGTTCCGGCTCTGTCCCCAACGCCCCTCAGGTGGTGAAGCTGTGTGACTTCGGTGTGGCCCGCATGCTGCCATCGCGGCAGCAGGGTGGGCAGCTGAGGGGCGGGCCGGAGAAGGTGGGAGGGGCTGACATGACAGCGGAAACAGGGACATATAGGTGGATGGCGCCTGAGGTCATGGAGCACAGGGGGTACGACCAGCGGGCGGACGTGTTCTCCTTCGCCATCACCATGTGGTGAGCCACTGGGATGGGGCCAGCAGGGTACAGGGCACAGAGCACCGAGCACAGGGCATGGCGTGCAGGGCACGGGGCATGAGGCATGAGGCACGGGCAGTGGTGGGCACTGGGCAGACATGACAGCAGAGACGGGGACGTACCGGACTGGTGGATGGCGCCTGAAGTCATGGAGCACAGGAGGTATGACCAGCGCGCGGACGTGTTCTCCTTTGCCATCACCGACGTCTTTTCATTTGCCTTCACCCCCATGACATGATCGCAGGGAGGTGTTGACAGGCGACCTGCCATACTCTGGTCTCACACCCCTGCAGGCTGCTATCGGCGTGCTTCAGAGGTGAGGGGCGCTTGCCTTCCACTGCTGCTACTGCTGCTGCTGCTGCTGCTGCTGCTGCTGCTGCTCATGCAAATGAAGCATCTCAAGAGCACACATTGCACGATCCGCACCCACTGCCACCCCCTGCCCTTCCCACGTCTCCTCTGCTCGTCTTCACTCACCTCACCTTACCTCCTTGCTTCCATTCCGTTCACCTGTCACTCATGCACTCACCCATCCTGCCACAACTCTCCCTGCCATCCCAGGAACCTCCGCCCGCCCATTCCACCCACGCTCCCTCCTCCCATCGCCACCCTCATGGCTCGCTGCTGGGCGTCCGACCCTGCTGATAGAGCCGACTTCTCCGAGGTGAGACTGTTGGATGATTCGTTTCTACTTCACTTCACTGCACCTCCCCACCTGCATCCACCATGTAATGGACACATCCACTCATTCACACCCACCTATACCCATCCATACTCATGCACACCCACCAGGTGCTGACAGTGCTGGAAGCGTCCATCAAGGGAGTGTCCCCTGCCGCCCTCTGCCTGGGCCCTGATGCCGCCTCCCCTGCTGCTGCTGGAGGGGGAATCACAGGGGCAGGTTCAGGGGCAGGTTCAGGGGCAGGGGGAGTGGCAAGGGTGCGGGATTTGACAGCGGGGGGAGGGAGCTCTTCCTCTCTGGGCAGTTTGTTTCGGCGGTCCATCTTCGGGGCTGTCAAGAAGCACTGAAGGGAAGGCGGGGCAGTGGAAGGAGGTAAAGCGAGGCAAGGAGGGGAGCAAGATCACATGGATGTAACTAATAACTAGATCAGTCATGTGAATGGGCGTGCAGGGGCTTCACCCACATGTGCATCTAGCCACGGCAGCGGTCTGTGAGTTGAAGCAGAAGCAGGGGCGACATGGATTTGTCAAGGTTTTTGTAGCCCCCACAGATTCCTGCTAAGTTGTCAACATCATGCAGTGGAGCACTGCTAGTAGTTAGATAAATTCAACGCCAGGTTTCTCAAAGCTGATTTTGTTTTCTTTGTACTCCAGTTGTGATACGGTATATTGAACCAGCTCAACTGCTTCCAGGTTGAGGTGCAAATGAAGCATGCAACTTGCAGATCAGCAGTCAAAAACTGGGTGATGCACTCATGCGTAGGCAGGGCAAGCAACCGTCCTGCACAAAACGTCTTTCTATGAGCTCTCCAGAATCCTGAGCATGAAATCCAAAAGCTATCTCTCAAACACATCCATGTGCAATGCAAGCCCAATTACCAGACCCATACAAAAATTCCCTAATATGCCAGTCAGGACTCGAGGATGCTGGGGAAAGCCCTGCAGCAAGAAGCTGAGATTGTCAGTGGGGACACAGGAGCTAACAAAGAGCAGCAACAAACCGTGCTGATCAAGCAGCAGCTTAGCAGCGTTGGGCTCCGCTCAGCAGCAGTGCTTTCGGCATCAGTGCGGTCAGCAGCAGTAGTTGGCAAGAACGCGGTAGTATACGCGCTCGTCCCTGTGCTTCCCACTCTCCGCCGCTCCCACCAGCGCCAGCTCCTGGCGAGGGGCGATCACACATGGGCACAATGGCGCATTGAGACACGCGTTGAGACATGCATGGAGTGATGCATGCACGCACGCATCGACAGAAGCATTGAGACACCAATGCGAGGGAGAAACTGCGTTGAGACAATGTGGCCCACACAAGAAGAGAACAAGCCACACAAGATGGGAAACACACGGGAGAATGGGTTAACACATGTGGCAGAGAAGAATGGTTCACTATGCAATGCATTCCGCACCTTGACCATCTTGTGGCTGAGATTGATCCCCAGGCAGTGCAGCAGACGGCGCAGATCCTCCGACTGAGAGTGAGGCGCAGTGAGCAGGGGACAAAGCAAAAACGTGGGGGACAGGAGGACAGAGAAGAAGGAGAAGTGAAAAGTGAACCAAGAGTGCCTGACAGCTTTGTTGTTACCCCTGATCACCCCTCCACTACCCCACCCACTTCCCATACAACCCCCTCCCGTATCTCCCTCCCTCCCCACAACCTCCCGCACCCCCTTGCACCCACGCCCCCACTCCCGCGTGTCTCCCATGAGGTGCAGACCTTGAGGTAATCGGTGTGGTTGCGGTCAAACTGGCGGAAGGCCTGCAGACACGCAGAAAGTGCAGGCATGGGAGAGGGGGCAGGTGGGCATTGTTTCGCACACACAGGAAACCACTCAAATCAGCACGAGTCATCTGCTACGTGGCAGTACTAACCATAACTCGTTGGGGAGGGACAGAAAAGTAGGTGCCTTTCTAAAGCAGACGGGGCGAAGACGCATGAGAAGTGTGAAGTAGAAAGGGGAAGCGTGAGAACTCAGGAGAGAATGGGTTAAGAACGGATCCGAGCTTACAAGGACGAGGTCAGACGAGGTCACTGAAGACTTGGGCCACGAGTCCTCTTCCTTCGCCTCCTTCGCCTCTTCCTTTTTCTCATCCTTCGACTCCTTTGCCTCTTCCTTTCCCTTCTTCTCATCCTTCCCAATCCCCTCCTCGCCTTCCTTCTCTTTCTTCTCCTCTGTAACTCCTGCCCCCTTCTCTGCCGGCCCAATCACTACCGTTCCACCACCCGCCTTCTTCCCCTCTTCCTCCGCTGCACCACTCTCCTCCATCGCCTCATCCTTCCCTTCCTTCTCCACCTGCTCCTCTTTCTTCACCGTCTGCTCAGCACTGGCCTTCTTGTCCGCCCCATCTCCAGCTTTCTTCTCCTCATCCTCCTCCATCTTCTCTTCCTTCTTCACCACACCACCCTCCTCTCCCTCTTTCTTCTCCTCCTCAACCTCCATCTCAACATCCCCCTCCGCGCCTTCCACCTTCGCCCGTTTAGCTGCTGCCTCATCTCCACTCGCCTTCTCCCCTTTCCCCTCTCCCTCGCCACTCTCCTTTGCCTTCTCCTTGGCAGCTTCAGCCTCCAGCCTGCGCTTGCGGCTCTCCCTCTCCCTCTCCTTCTCCCGCTCCCTCTCCCGCTCCTTCTCCTTGGCCCGCTTAGCAAGCGACAAGGGATACAGGAACTGAGGCAGGGAAACGGAGAAGCATACACAAACGGACAAACAACAGCAAAGGAGACCAGATAAAAGAATTCTAAAACTCAGGAGTCGAAAGACGTGCTCAATGTCAGACAAGGCAATGAATAAAGCTCCAACGACGCGTGCAGCTTTCCAAACAAGCACACAAGCCCTAAAGCCCACAATAGCGCCTCATGGCAAAAATACTAACTCCATATCCGTACTTCAAACCATCTGAAAGCCACCCTTTTGCACTTGCGTGCTGCTGACCTGCAGGTGCGTGAAGATGGTTCGGCCCGCTCGCTCCTGTATGTACTCGCTGATGCTTTCTGCCACCACTCCCAGCTGCAGTGCACACATCATGGGCGGGATTGGAAAGAGAGGGGACGGGAGAGGAACGAGGGAATGGGAGAGGAAAAGAGGGGCCAGGAGAGGGAAGAGAGGGGATGGGAGGGGAAAGACGGAACGGGAGAGGGAAGCAAGGGGATGAGAGGAAAGACAGAACGGGAGAGGGAAGCAAGGGGATGAGAGGAAAGACAGAACGGGAGAGGGAAGCAAGGGGATGAGAGGAAAGACAGAACGGGAGAGGGAAGCAAGGGGATGAGAGGAAAGACAGAACGGGAGAGGGAAGCAAGGGGATGAGAGGAAAGACAGAACGGGAGAGGGAAGCAAGGGGATGAGAGGAAAGACAGAACGGGAGAGGGAAGCAAGGGGATGAGAGGAAAGACAGAACGGGAGAGGGAAGCAAGGGGATGAGAGGAAAGACAGAACGGGAGAGGGAAGCAAGGGGATGAGAGGAAAGACAGAACGGGAGAGGGAAGCAAGGGGATGAGAGGAAAGACAGAACGGGAGAGGGAAGCAAGGGGATGAGAGGAAAGACAGAACGGGAGAGGGAAGCAAGGGGATGAGAGGAAAGACAGAACGGGAGAGGGAAGCAAGGGGATGAGAGGAAAGACAGAACGGGAGAGGGAAGCAAGGGGATGAGAGGAAAGACAGAACGGGAGAGGGAAGCAAGGGGATGAGAGGAAAGACAGAACGGGAGAGGGAAGCAAGGGGATGAGAGGAAAGACAGAACGGGAGAGGGAAGCAAGGGGATGAGAGGAAAGACAGAACGGGAGAGGGAAGCAAGGGGATGAGAGGAAAGACAGAACGGGAGAGGGAAGCAAGGGGATGAGAGGAAAGACAGAACGGGAGAGGGAAGCAAGGGGATGAGAGGAAAGACAGAACGGGAGAGGGAAGCAAGGGGATGAGAGGAAAGACAGAACGGGAGAGGGAAGCAAGGGGATGAGAGGAAAGACAGAACGGGAGAGGGAAGCAAGGGGATGAGAGGAAAGACAGAACGGGAGAGGGAAGCAAGGGGATGAGAGGAAAGACAGAACGGGAGAGGGAAGCAAGGGGATGAGAGGAAAGACAGAACGGGAGAGGGAAGCAAGGGGATGAGAGGAAAGACAGAACGGGAGAGGGAAGCAAGGGGATGAGAGGAAAGACAGAACGGGAGAGGGAAGCAAGGGGATGAGAGGAAAGACAGAACGGGAGAGGGAAGCAAGGGGATGAGAGGAAAGACAGAACGGGAGAGGGAAGCAAGGGGATGAGAGGAAAGACAGAACGGGAGAGGGAAGCAAGGGGATGAGAGGAAAGACAGAACGGGAGAGGGAAGCAAGGGGATGAGAGGAAAGACAGAACGGGAGAGGGAAGCAAGGGGATGAGAGGAAAGACAGAACGGGAGAGGGAAGCAAGGGGATGGGAGAGGAAAGAGGGAACGGGAGAGGGAAGCAAGGGGATGAGAGGAAAGACAGAACGGGAGAGGGAAGCAAGGGGATGAGAGGAAAGACAGAACGGGAGAGGGAAGCAAGGGGATGAGAGGAAAGACAGAACGGGAGAGGGAAGCAAGGGGATGAGAGGAAAGACAGAACGGGAGAGGGAAGCAAGGGGATGAGAGGAAAGACAGAACGGGAGAGGGAAGCAAGGGGATGAGAGGAAAGACAGAACGGGAGAGGGAAGCAAGGGGATGAGAGGAAAGACAGAACGGGAGAGGGAAGCAAGGGGATGGGAGAGGAAAGAGGGAACGGGAGGTGAACAAGGGGATGGGAGAGGCAAGGGGGCCGGGAGAGGGAACAAAGGGGATGGGAGAAGAACGAGGGGATGGGATGGTTAGGAGCAGAAGCACTTTCAACCCTTCAAATACTCGCAGATGGCTTCACAAACAGTGACAGCAAAATACACAATGGCATCACACTGTACCGCACTGCACTGTAATGCACCGCACAGATAACAGGCACACACCTCGAAGGAAGACTCGTCCCTGTCCTCCTCATCATAGTCCAGCAGCCCATCCAGAGAGATGGTGAGCGTCTTCACCTGCCGCCACGCACGGCAAAGAGGGAGGGAGGAAGGGGTGGAAGATGATGTTATAGTCGCAAGAATGATCATCATAGCCCAGCAGCCCATCCAGAGACATGGTGAGCGTCTTCACCTGCCGCCATGAAGGCACACAGAGCGGGGTGCGGGATGGAGGGGTTCGAAGGTGTAAGAGCCGATATGGTCAGCAAAACAGGAAGCACGAGCAACAACTATGGGATGGAACTGGACGAGGAGGGGTGGGTGTGGAGAGGGGGTGATGATGGTGGAAGCGTGACCAAAAAGGGTGACCGGAGGCAATTCAGCGAGAGGAACAAGGAGTATGGGGTTGCTGAGGACTGGGCTGATGAGGTTTGGGGGCACACCTTGACGGTCTTAGTGCGTGAGGAAACCAGGACGAAACCAGGATTCGTGATCTCCTTCGCCTTTGCCTTTTCCTTCTCCTCCTTCTCTTTCTTCTCCTTCTCCTCTTTCTCCTTCTTTTCCTTCTCCTCTTTCTCTTTCTTCTCCTTCTCCTCTTTTTCCTTGTCCTTCTCCTCGCCTTCCTTCCCTGCTCCCTCCTTCGCCTCACTGCCCTCTGCCTTCTCTCCATCACCTGAGCCCTCTGCTCCATCCTTGCCCTCTTTGCCCTCCTTTGTCGCATCCGTTGCTGCTCCCTTGACTGCCGCTGCAGAGCCTTCTTCCTTAGCCTTCTCCTCCTCCTTCTCCTTCTCCTTCTCCTTTTCCTTCTCCTCCTCCTTCTCCTGCTTGCCCTTATCACTGGTCTCCTTCTCCTTCTCATCGTTCTCCTTCTCCTTCCCAGTTTCCTCCTTTTCCTTCTCCTTTTCCTTCTCCTTTTCTTTCTCCTTTTCCTTCTCCTTCTCCTTCTCCTTCTCCTTCTCACGCTCCTTCCGTTCCTTGTCCCTCCTCTCCTTCTCCTTCCGCTCCTTCTCTTCAATCGCCTTCCTCTTCCCCTCTAGCTCTTTCACAGACTTCTTCCAATCCTCCAGGCTCGGAAGGCACTCCGACAGGTTCGGCAAGAGGTAGACCACAGTCTCAAGGTTGGTCGGCTTGCCGTGGCTATCAGATCGCATGTAAACCACCTGGCAGTCAGATAGGAAGTAGAAGAAACAAAGGGAACGGAGAAAAAAAAGGTAAGGGACGGATAAGGCGCAAGGGCAACAAGGCAGGAATGTGCAGACCGATGGGCGAGGGGCAAGAAGAATGAAGGTAAACATGAATCAATCAATGGAAGCAGCTCGTGACAGAACCACATGAACAAGACAGAATGCCAGCCGTAGATGCAGGAATTGGCATGGGCATCCAGGAGGAGCAAGCAAGAGCAAGCACGCACGTCGACAAGCCGCGCCCAGTCCTTGCATGCGCTCAGATCCACACGCACTGTTGCCTTCACAAACCTGCCACAGGAGCAGTTTTGAAGGATCAGGTGAGAACTCTGCATACGAGAAAGGAGAGCTTTAATTGCTGCATACGACAAGCACGGGAGCGTCGAGGCAACTTGCAATAGAAGTTTCGCGGATGGCGGCATGTGGGATACGCTCGGACCTGGCATGCTCACATGCAACCCTAAGCTGTTGCTTCAAACAGCCCCTGCCCCCTGCAGACTGCGTTCCCCTCACACTAGGGATGAGCAGAGGGCGAACTCGAACATGTTCGAGTTCGCCCCCTATCGAACATCGACTTCTACCGAACCGAACAGTGTTCGGTTCGGCGAACTATTTGGGCGAAAACAGGTGTTCGCCGTTCGCCCTAGGGGGCGAACGAATTGTTGCAGCAGGCGAACTCGAACATGTTCGAGTTCGCCAAAGGGAAAATTCGATATAGTCACAGTGGTCATATTGTGAAACGCCGTCTCTACAACTTGACACCTTGACCGCTTGGTGCTTGATCCCTATGCTTCTGAACACTAATGTTCACACAAACACCCTACACTACGAACTACCCTAACCCTAATGTCCGTGTAGATGAACGATGTAAGGTGTGCGATAGCTATTAAAACCGCAAGGCTAGGGCGGTTGTGTGAGAGAGGGCTAAGCGCTAAAGGCGTTTTGAGTTTGAGCTCACGAAATGAGCTCAAACTCAAAACGGCCGCGACCTAAAATTGGTCGCGGCCAATTTTGACGCGAACACTTTTGTGTTCGCGGGGCACCCAATTCGAACACGAATGCGTTCGTGTTCGAATTCCCTTAGCCAAAAATCAATGGCGAACGGCGAACATGTTCGGCCGAACACCGAACATGTTCGCCTCGAACGATTTAGGCAAAAAAAAATGCCTGTTCGGTTCGCCTCGAACATGTTCGAGGCGAACCGAACAGGCATTCGGGATTTTGCTCTAATGTACCTCACTCACACCTGATCGCAGCTCGCACGAGCCCAGAGTCCTCCTTGCTCGGATCTCCACTGTCCGTTTCCGCCTCCCAGCGCCCGCCAATGGCTGAGATGGGATCGCGGTCGCGGCGCATGCAGACGAATCGCAGCGCGTGGTTGGTGTGCGGGGGGCGCTCGTGGGGCGAAGGGGGCTTGTCTGACGTGATCTGGGCCAGGGCTGGCGCGTCCAGGCCGCTCATCAGCAGCACCTGATGGGATGTCAGGGAAGGGGGCACGACTTAGGAGGAAAGTGGCCCGAGCAGCCCATACGGGACGAGGGGGTAATGGGGAGTGGTGGAACCGAGAGTAGCGGGGGTTGGAGGAAGGGAGCGGTGGAGAGCGGCGTGGGACGATTGGAAGGTGTGGCGTCGCAGAATCTTTGCACTCCTCTTGCTGCTCGCGCATGCAGATGGCGCATTGCAGAGCCAGACACGCACACACACACTCAGCCCACACACACGCACACACACACCACACCAGGGACGTGCGGAGTGGAGAGGAGTGGCTGACGCTCTCACCTTGACAGTCCACAGCATGGGCAGCTTAAGCCCAAAGGGAGCAGCAGCAGAGTGGGCAGGCGACGTGGCAAAGCCACAGCTCTCATTCGCCGTAGCCATAGACGTGTCCTCTGGAGGCGACTCCCCAGCCGTCGCTGTTGCAGCACCAGCCGACTGCCCTGCAGGAGTGCCACTGCCGTCCTCTGCCATGCCCTGAACCTCACCCTTCACTTCTGTGACCTGTGCTCCCTCCTCTGGCTCTGCCTTCACTGCAGAGTCTCCCTTGCTCGGAATAGACGCAGTGCCGACGGTTGCTCCAGCAGGAGACGTTGATGCCGCAGCGGTGGTTGCAGAGTCGTCAGATTCTACCTCTACTGAGTCGTGCTCGAAGCTGATCCGGCCGTCCATCCATCCATGCATGATCCATCCATCCATGGGTTGTGGGCAGTGGGCAATGGGCAGCGCACAAAACGCCACCACGCATAATGCACAGAATGCCATCCGGATTAGATTAAGAGTTGGCGGCTGAGCTTAGCTGTTGTGATTACAGGAGAAACGAGCAGAGGATGAGGACGAGGACGCGCAACACGAAGCTCTCCAAGTCACAGCAGCAGCAGACGCAGCAGAAGGAGGAGCAGCAGCAGAATTCGCAGGGGTAAAGCAGAGCCAGGAGCTGGACTGAACCAACAGCCACCAACAACCCCGAAGAGCAATGTGCTCGGCGCTAGCATGCTGAAGCTGGCTGCCTTGAGTCACTGAGAGAAGCATGCCAGCAGCGTCTCCCACTCCCCGCTCTAGCATTGTATGGACTGGCAGGTGGCAAGAGGGCAACCAAACGAGCATGAAAGCGCACAGCAGCAGCAATCTGAATAGGGTTGGGAAAAGCGTACCTGACAGGAGTGAAGAGTGGCAGTGGCGTGGAGTGAGTAGGCCACACTGCTCGTGCCTGCACGTGGGAAATAATAAAAGAAAACAGGGAGGTAGAAGGGAAGAATTTCTAAAAGAGATCCGCTACACGCGTGTCAAAAGGTTGCAGTGCAACACCCAATCGCTCGACTTGCACCAATCAAGAGCACTATCCTATCAGAAGCAGGCGAATCGACTTCTGCATTCTCCAAACGTCCGATACACGTCAGGAGCGCATGCAACAGTCAGTCAAATAAACACACCTTGCAGAAGTCAGCTGGCACGTAGAGGCGCGGGTAGCGCTTGCAGATGCTCAGGTACCCCCTCTCCACCTCCGCGAATGGGAACGGCTCAATCTGGGAAGACATTAGGTTGGGAAGAGGGCCGAGGAACAGAGGGAAAAGGATTGGCTGTTAAGGCAAAAATAAGAACGGGCGAGGCAGAGAGTGAAACGGGAAGGTGGCTTGACGAGAAATAACGACGACTCAAAGCCGCCACCCTTTCTATCTGACGCTGGGCAAAAAGAGATGATTTGCAGAGAGGGTACATGACTTGCAGCGAATCTGGAAGCAAAACAGTTTGGGAACGAAAAAGACTGACCTTGCACGAGTAGGGGCGGTAGTAGTCACGGGGCGGGGACCTGCAGTGAGTCAGGGAGGAGCACAGCATAACACCAGCGCGTCATGGATTTCCGTGCAAAACCGAGCCCAGCACGGCCAGATCGTTGAAGCAGACGGTATACAGGCAAACAGATTGCTGCGACAAGCATCAGCAGCTCGTAATGCAGCTAGCCACATCGCACATTTGAAAACAATCACATGCGCAATCACATCCAACTATGAAATGATACACGGATCCTGTACGCCAGCAGAGCATGCACCTGTACAAGCGTCATTAGGGCACCACCTTACCCCTATGGACCTGCGCACCTGTGCCTGTGATAGTCGCGCTCGTCCTTCCTAGCCGCTCCAGCAGCAGCCGCCTCCCTGCCACCGCCTGCCTTCCTCCTCTCCTCCCTCTCCTTCTCCCTCTCCTTCTCCTTGTCCTTGTCCCCGTGATCTCGCTCCTTCCTATCCTTCTCACGAGCCCTCTCCCTCTCCTCCCTCTCCCTGATTCTCTCCCTATCCCGAGCCCGCTCACGCTCTCTCTCCCTCTCCCTCTCACGCTCACGCTCCCTCGCCTTTTCCCTCTCGCGCTCCCTCTCCTTCTCCCTCTCCCTATCCCGCTCCCTATCCTTAGGCCTATCCCTCTCCCGCTCCCGCTCCGGAACAGCCGCCCTGTCCCTCCCAAAAGCCCCTCGCTCCCTCTCCGCACCTTTCCGCCAATCCCCCTCTCCGCCTCTCCCCCTTTCATCTCGAGCACCCGGCCATGCCTTGCTGGTCTGGAATCCGGAGTCCGCAGCGGGACCTGAGGTTCGGCCGGCAGGGGCAGATGCTTTGGGTGCAGAGTAGTCGCGGCCTGAAGCACCACGATAACAGGCAGATCCAAATGTCAGTATGCATAACTGACAGTCGAAACGAAAACGCGGCAGAACGAGGGAGGGTGGGCGAGAAAGCGAACGCAAAGTGGGCGGGCGGGCGGGATGGAGGAGGGGGGATGGGGGTGAAGGAGGGGGGGGGAGAGGAGAGCGGGGGGGTTGAAGGGAGGACGAAAGCGTGGGGGGGGGCACAGAAAGCATACCGTGGAAGCCCTGAGGCGTGGGATGCGGCTGTGAAAACCCCTGCGCCGGCACGTGCTGCTGCTGCTGCTGCTGTTGCTGCTGCTGCTGCATCTGCTGCTGCATCGCCACGGCCATCTGCTGCTGGAACGGAACGCTCCCCGCACCCATGCCCGACACGCCTCCCCCCATGGCAGCGTACCCGGGACCCGCGGCAGTTAGCATAACGGGCGTGGCACCGCCGGCGGCAGCAGCGGCGTCGTACTGCACGCCTGTGGTGTATACGATCTGCCGCTGCCCTCCTCCCACTGACGCGGCCGCGGGCGCCGTGACCAGCAGCTGCTGCCCGTAGCTGTCCGTCGCCGTGTAGACGCTGGGGGAGGGGAGGAAGAAGCGTCGAGCAGGGGGAGAGGCGAGGAGCAGGCACAAGAAACAACGGTGTGATGGCAGTAACTGAAAGAAAAAACTCTTTGCGACGCCACATTTAAAAAGAGTTGCAGAATTGGAGACAAAAAAGATCGCAAGTGACTGACCGCTCAGCATGCGAAGAAACGCTTACCGCTGCTGAGCTGCAGCTGCCTGCTGCTGCGTCGCCATGGCCTGCTGCATGGACGCTGCTGCTGCTGCCAGTCCGATGGCCGACGCTCCCCCCGCGCCCTGCTGCTGCTGGTACTGCTCACATCAACACAAGCAGCAAAGAAGCACAGCGAAATGTTTCTCATTAGAGCAGATTTGATGACAGCAATCCTCTTCAATGGCGTTGTAAGCGCATGCTTTACACAATGTGGAGCTATATGGCGTCATAATAGCAAGCCACAGAAGTGAAGCAAAGCAGACGCGCGAAAGGAGCACAATGCGAGCACAGATTCCTAACGTTGCTGAATCACACTGATAAGCTACAGTCTTCTTACCGTTGATGACGCGTCCTGGTAGTAGGCTCCCGTCTTGGGGTCGAAGCTGAACGTCCCTCCAGCAGCGGCAGGAGTAGCAGCAGTCGTCCCCACGCCATACCCACCGTACGCGGAAGAACCGCCGGCGGTTCCCGCACCGCTGGAAATATCGAGGCCGTAGGCTGCAGCGACTGCCTGCGCGCCGGCGGAATACTTGGACGTTCCGTCAACGGTGGTGGCGAACGAGGAGAGAGAGGAATAGGGGTTGGCCTGTTACAGCGCGGGAAGGAATCAGATAAGGGTGAAGGGGGAAGGAGGTGAGGGGGAGGAGGACGAGGGATCATCGAAGGCGGTACAAGAAGTGGCTGCGAGGAAGTGGGTGACGACAGGCGGACGGCGAGAGGCGACGGACGGATGACGAGAAGAGTCAGACGGAAGACTTAAAACTGATAAACGCGTGTCGAACCAACAAAAAACGCTTACATTCTAAACAGAATAGCTGGGAAAACTGCTACAAAATCGGGAGAAATGTAACCGCTACATAGACGAATCTTCTCCGTAATACATACCGACGCAGCCGAAGCACCCTGGGTGTAAGAAACCTGCTGCTGCTGTCCCGCCTGCTGCGCTTGCTGCTGCTGCTGCCCCTGGGTGCCATAAGCAGCAAGCGACTGGTACGTGTAGTACTGGCCGGTCCCTCCTGCTGCCGCAGGCGTAGTGGATGCCACCTGCTGTTGCTGCTGCTGCTCAATGAAATAGCAGACAAAAATCCACCAGGAAACCAAGGAAAGTTGGAATATTACAGGTTCATCATCATTCTGAGGCCGAGAACGAGCTCGCTGTCAATTTCAATGGAATCAGTAATCTGGAACAAAAAGAGGATGCCATAGTGAAGGAAATGATGGGAACAAGTACAGCCAGGGACTTACTGGTGTCAGTTGTTGCAAGGAATAACCCTGCTGCAAAATCGCGAAAAAAAAACAAAGAAGGCAACAGAGCCTTATCAGAGTTAGGACATGCGTAAGCTAGGTAAGAAACCTTCACGGTGAGCATAAATATACCATATGTCTACGAAAATCATCAACTATTAGAAACAGACGTCTAGAAACAAAGATTATGTGCGCATCGGTATCGATCTACAACTCAAGCTCCAGATCCACGACTCGCACGACTGAACCCTAAATAAGAAACCGAGAATAACTGCGAAATCCACAAGAAACGTGTTAGATTCGAATATTATGAGCACCTGGGAGTACTGCGAGGCCCCTCCGCCAGCCACGGAACTCCTCCAAGAATCCATGGCAAAGCGAGCCCTACTATTGCGCGCTACAACACGCAAGCGCCTATGTGGAGACGTGAACGACGGTCAGCGATTCTACGTTAGGGGATGGTGGAATGCGAGACACGACCATGGCTCAGAAGAAACCTTGATCTGGTCTGGTCGGGGCATTGGTTTGGACGGAACCCTTCTGCCCTTTTGTTCTACTCCTTCCCTAATTGGATTGACGACGAGAGTGTAACAGCAAAATATTATGTACATTATACAATTACATATGTTATTATGCCTCAGACCAACATTGGACAAGAATGGAGAATTGTAAGCAGATCATATGAAAGACCTGCTACGACAGACATGAGCCAAACCCAATTACAGACGTAAAGAACATAACCTAAGCCCGCATGTCCACTACAGGACCCACCCACACCTTGAGCAGCGCCCCATTCAAGTTCTGCATTCCAATTTCCAACCCCCAATCAGCCCTTCAAAACTACCTGCCATCTGAGTCACCGCCTGTAGGAGAATTACTCGGCCTCTACGATCTGCATTGTTGACAGCCACCTTGGGATGAGTAATCCCCCTTGTTGCTCTATTTATTGGCAACAGTCCCCCCCCCCTGTGCAAAAACTCGCACCTTGAATCATGAAGCACGTTCACTATGCATCACGTTGTAAACCCGATTCTCCTCCCTGTAACTTCATTGCCCTGCATCTTGGTGCTGCTCCTTGCGAACCTCTATCGCATGCAGACGTCCTAAACACCGTTCTTTCTTTGCTTCAAGCCTAGAGATTTTACTGTCAACACGTGAGATCTTCTCTCTCAGCTCATCCTCCTCAGACCGTAGGTTGAGAGGCTGGGGAGGAGGTGTTTGCGGTCTAGTCCGTCTGATTCCCTGAGACCCACCAACAAAGCAGGGAGAGAGGTACAGAGTGAAGGAAGAACCAAAGACAATAATACCTGCCGGGTCAAACTACAAGTGAATCTCGAGACATTGATATCTGCCAAAAATCTGCAAGATTTCACAATTCACGCTCTAATGGTCGCCCAAGTTTCACTCACAGTAAGTAAGAGAATGACTCGCTTACCGCTGTTCCAACGAAAAAATGACAGATGGTAACGGAAACCCCAACTTACCGATGCATAAGGATCCATGAAAATGTGGCAGCGGATGCTGCCTGATGCTGCTGTTATTGCTGCTTTTGATGCTGCTGAGTACAATCTCAAGACAGAAATCAAACGAGAAAGGCCGGAAACAGACAGCGAGAATCATTTAACATTTTGACGGCTACAGCAGCTCGACATAAACGGGAATGCAGAGGTTCATGTCAAATGAGTAACGTCATCAACTTACTCGTAGCTAAATCCTTACATGTGTCAGCTGCTGAGAACCATCACCCTGCTGCAAACCCACCGAAACTAAAGAAGCTATACGAAATAGAAGGGTACGCGAGTCAAGCAAGCCTGTTCCACTAGAAAGTACGGATAGCAGCAATTACCTAAACTAGACGGCTCGGGTCATAGCATTTACTCTACGGTTTCAACAGGAAGTCGAGTGCTTCTGGCACCCAACTACCAGTTGTGAGTTGGCGAGCAAGTGCGGTTTGTACGGAACATCTCATGGCGTTGACTCAGGCGCACGGACTGTAGCGAATATAATTATTGAAATATGTAAGGAACATTCCTTTTCCTTACTTCGCATCCCTGCTCAACGCGTACATCACTGTAGCACCACAGTCAGCACCGTTACCACTCGCAACCCTCGCATCGACAATCTGCCCGCCATCTTCGCACGTCGCACCCCGACCTCACAGCTCGGCGAGTGACCCGCGCTCCGGGCGTCCGCTTCGACACTTTTCCCAACCTCAGTCCCAGGCCCGTCACGCGACAACCACAGTCCATTACCGTTACCACTGTAGTTTCGCTATATATTCTTCGCTCATGCCTTCGCTCGTTGTACTCTTGTTTCGATAATGCAATTCTCGTTCGTTCACTCAATTGCACTCGTAACACTTGGTATCAGAGCCTACGATCTCTTCTCGGACCGCACCCACACCTTCGCTTCCCCACTATCTCAATTTTTGGGGGTCTCTCAACGACACAGCACCGCCGCTCGTAGTGCTCTCTCGTAAGCACGCACGGCCACGACTGAGGCTCTCGCTAAGCTCGCCCGACAACCCCGCCATGGCCGAATTCACGCTCACCACATTGACGCAGGAGCAGCTCGACCGTCTGGTGCGCCAACTCGAAGATTCGGCACTCGAAATTGCGACGCTCACGGCGGAACGTGACTCCGCGCGTCCGCGATCAACGACGAACACTCCAGCGCCACCACACGCACCGACAAATGTATCTGCACAATCAGACGAGCCGATCGTCATCTCGTCCGGCACACCAACACAAAACAACAGCGTGGGACAACGCTCAGGCGCAGCCAGCGATGGCGCCGCCCAGCCGATGCCTGGCATGGGAGGAAACAGGGTCGCACCAAGCCCGCGGGAGCCTCGCGAAGCCCGTCGGCACGTGGAGTTCGCGGCGACAAGTGGCGAACAGGCCATCATGGCACCAATGCCACTCAAGCCGCAACGCCCGCCCTGCTTCGACCCGAGCTAGCGTGGAGGTCCGACGGTTCAATCGTGGGTTTTCACGATGAACGTCTTCTTCGACGCGAATTACGTCGAGTCGGGCGCATCGAAGATTCGGTATGCCGTTTCGCTGTTAAGGGGTCCCGCCATGGACTGGTGGCGAGTCATCGTGACGTCGCCACGCGCCTACGAGCCACCGTCGCAAGAGGAAGGGCCCACGGGTCCAGCTGTCACATGGAGTTCATTCTGCGAGACCGCCCAATACAACACGTGGGATGCGTGGTGCGCAGGGCTTCGGGCGCGCTTCGAGCCGATCGCGGGTTCTATTTCGGCGCGTCAGAGATTGCGCACTTGGCGGCAGCTCGGGTCGGTTCAAGATTACACGAGCGGCTTTCTCGCACTTTGCGAGCAGGTCGGCTGCATGCACGAAGCAGAGCGGGTGGACCGTTACGTCGGAGGGCTGAAGCCGGACATCTCGCATGAAATCATGCTATGCGGGCTCTCGAACTTCAACGAGATTCTCGCGCTCGCCGAGAAAATCGACATTCTACGCCGACCGGGACCGGGGTCCTACTACGGACATCGTCCTCGGGGACCGATCGAGCACGCCACTGTAAACGCTGTTACGAATGCAACTGCCGTACCGTTTAAGGGGCGCTGCTTTGCTTGCAATAGGCCGGGCCATCGCAAGAGCGAATGCCCAGAGGAGCTAAGGCGCCGCGGAGCAGAGCAGGGGAGGGAGTCTCAGAGGCAGGGAAACGCCAACAGTCAGTAGAAGTTGGGCCAACTACTGATGAGACTGCCTGCTCGCCGAACCGCACCGACCCTCACCGAGTCACAGTACCGATTCACGCCATCGATCGGGCTCGGATGAATAAGGAGGGTACAACGACGGATTGCCCAGTACTGATCCACGGGAAAATACAGGGAGCAGCAGTGAAGATTTTTATTGACGGAGGAGCAAGCCACAGTTTAGTTAATACTGCAACTGCGCGAAAAATACAACTGACACTTAGTCGCTGCTTACTTGAGATCGACGCACGCTTAGTTGACGGCACGCCGCTGGCCATACGGGAGAAGGTGGAGAGAGTAAAAATTCGCTGCGGGGGAAACTTCGGGTCTACACAGGAAATGCTCGCGACGACATTGGATGGGCATGATGTTTTACTGGGACGTGATTGGCTACGACGGTACAACCCACGAATCGACTGGACAACGGGTAGCTGCATTGTGCGAAGTAGCGGTAACTGGGTCATGCTACCTCGCTGGCAGTCGCCCGAGTCGTCAACGGTCCACGTCAACGCCATCACGATGAAACGGGTTGTCGCCGCTGGAGCTGCCGTGTACGCAGTAGATATAGCATTAGTAGGAGAAGCGGAGCAGCCGAGCGATTTTCAGAAACTGTTGGCAGCAGTACCGCCCGAACTACATGAACTGTTGAAACGGTACCCGGGGATTTTTCCAGACAACTTACCGGAAGGGCTGCCACCTCAGCGGGCGCATGATCATAGGATCGAGTTAGAACCGGGGGCACAACCAACTGTACAGCGCCAGTTCAGACTGACACAGCCCGAGCTCGACGAACTGAGGAAGCAGTTAGATTATTTGTTAGAGAAGCAGTTTATTCGACCAAGTTCGTCACCGTTCGCGGCACCGATACTATTCACACCGAAAAAAGACGGAGGGTTTCGCATGTGCATCGATTACCGAGCGCTCAACAGGGTAACAGTCAAGTCGCGGTACCCCATTCCCCGCGCCGACGAGCTGATCGACCAGCTGCGAACAGCACGGGTGTTTTCGAAAATAGACTTACGGGGGGGTTACCATCAGATTCGGGTCGAACCATCGGACTGCGCCAAGACAACATTTAGGACTAGGTACGGGTCGTTTGAGTACGTGGTGATGCCTTTCGGGCTGACCAACGTGCCCACAACATTCCAGATGACCATGAACGAGGTGTTTAGGCCACTCTTAGATAAATGCGTGATAGTTTACCTCGACGACATCCTCGTCTACAGTCGCGACAAGCAGCAACATTTAGCGGATCTCGAAGCAGTATTTAAAGTTTTAGCGGAACATCGGTTACTAACCAAGGGCTCTAAGTGCGAGTTTTTTCGGGACAGACTAGAATTTTTGGGGCACGTTATTTCGGAGGCTGGAGTTGAAATCGACCCAAAGAAGTTGGATACGGTAAAAGCGTGGCGTCCCCCGACGAACATCACGGAACTGCAGAGTTTTTTAGGGTTCGTTAATTATGTTCGCCGGTTCGTCCCCGACATGGCACATTTGACTGCCCCGGTGACGGATTTACTGCGAAAAGGGGTCGTTTTTACGTGGGGGGAGAAAGAGCATGCTGCCTTCTCTGCCCTGAAAAATGTTCTCTGTTCACCGCCCGTCCTGCGCATCGCCGACCCACACCGCCCCTTCGAGGTTGTTACAGACGCAAGCCACATCGCCATTGGAGCCGTACTGCTACAGGACTTCGGCAACGGCCTACAGCCCATCGCATACGAGTCACGAAAACTGCATCCGCCCGAGCAAAATTACCCGATACACGACCGCGAAATGCTCGCGATCGTGCATGCGTTCAAAATGTGGCGCTGCTACTTGACCGGCGCAGACGTGACAGTACAGACAGACCACCGATCACTACAGTACCTCCGCGCACAGCCCAACCTCAACCCACGACAGATTCGGTGGCTCGATTTCCTCGAGTCAAACTTCCACTACACAGTCACCTATAAAAAAGGAGCCTCGAACATCGCCGACGCACTGACCCGCCCCACTGCCCAGATCCACGCGATACTACTCGCCCAGACCAGCCCGCTACTGACAGGACTATTTACCCACGGATATCAAACGGACCCATTCTTCACAGGAGGAAATTCGCAGCAGTTCGCAACAGCCAAGGGAGTCTATTACGTAAAAGCCGGGACCGACCGCATCTGGGTACCAGGGTACACACTGCTACGGGAATTACTATTACAAGAGGCACACGACGGGGTTACCTCGGGACATTTTGGGGTAGAGAAAACACGGCAGCAGCTGCAGCGGTATTATTACTGGCCCGAAATGTTGACCGACATGCAGCGACACGTGGCATCGTGTCCCACTTGCCAGATCATGAAGTCAACACGGAAGCGGCCGGCGGGACAGTTGCAGCCACTCCCACCTCCAGAGCGTCCTTGGCAGTAGGTGACGATGGACTTCGTCACGGGGTTACCGGCCGGGGCGAGAGGAAATGACGCGATCCTGGTCGTCGTCGATCGACTGACGAAAATGGCACACTTCGCAGCCTGCAAAAAATCAATCACAGCCGAAGAAACAGCCCGCCTCTTCATCTCTACCGTCGTTCGACTGCACGGGATACCAGCATCAATCATGAGCGACAGAGACACGAAATTCACCAGCAACTTCTGGCGGAACCTGTGGCAGCAGTTCGGCACGCGACTACAGTTTAGTTCATCATACCACCCCGAAACAGACGGACAGACAGAACGGACAAATCAGACCATGGAACATCTCATTCGAGCCACGTGCGACGACCCAAACACGTGGGAACAGCAACTGCCACTCATCGAATTCGCATACAACAACGCCCCATCCGCCACGACCCAACAGTCACCGTTTTACCTGAATTACGGACAAGACCCAACAGTACCCATGACCCCGAATCCCGACAACCCGGTTCCACGCGCGCAACAGTTCGCCAAAATTTTGCAAGCAGCACGGACCAGGGCAGCAGACGCAATTAAAAAAGCTAACATCATCGCTAAACGCAACGCCGACCGCCACCGCAGACCTGTCACTTACCAGCCCGACGACTTAGTTTTGCTCGACACCCAAAATCTCCGACTGCCCATCACCCCGAAACTCCGCCCCCGATACTGCAGGCCATTTCGCATAAGCCACATGCTTACACCTGTCACCGCCCACCTCCTCCTCCCTGCTGACTGGTACGTCAGCCCCTCATTCCACGTCAGCCTGCTTCGCCCTTACGTCCCGTCCACGAGCCAACTGCCACGCAATCGCCCAGCCAGCATGACAAGACCACCGACTGAACCAATCATCACCCCCGAAAAAATCCGGAGTCACAGAGTTCGCGACCCTCAAGGAGCCCGAAGGATCGAGTTCTTACTCCGCTGGAAGGACCGTACACCCACCGAAGACAATTGGGTTCCCCTGGACAGAATCGAAAACCACCCCGTCCTCACCGAGTATCTGCGCAGCCGAAATTTCAGGGATGTACACGCACTCTCGTAAGGAGGACCTCCTTAAGGGAGGGGTAGTGTAAGGAACATTCCTTTTCCTTACTTCGCATCCCTGCTCAACGCGTACATCACTATAGCACCACAGTCAGCACCGTTACCACTCGCAACCCTCGTATCAACAATCTGCCCGCCATCTTCGCACGTCGCACCCCGACCTCACGGCTCGGCGAGTAACCCGCGCTCCGGGCCTCCGCTTCGACACTTTTCCCAACCTCAGTCCCAGGCCCGTCACGCGACAACCACAGTCCATTACCGTTACCACTATAGTTTCGCTGTATATTCTTCGCTCATGCCTTCGCTCATTGTACTCTTGTTTCGATAGTGCAATTCTCGTTCGTTCACTCAATTGCACTCGTAACAAAATATCAGTTGTATTTATACAGAGCCCTAGCATTGAGCATTACGTTAAGCACTTCTTGATCTCTCGTTTATTATCACATGGCATACATCATTCTAAATGTCTACCACTGAGCTAACCTCTCCTGCTGATCTCTTATGAGTGCTCTTAATGGTATACATTTCCATAACTCGAGTCTTGTTCTGTGCCCACCACGTTTCCGCTTGCCGTTCAATAAAGCGCTTCCGGCTGCATCGACAGACACCCACGCCACAGTTAACAAAAACAAAAACAATAAGAGACACAATAACACATAAGCAAAAACTTTCCCCACCAATTGCTGATTATAGCTATTCACGCACCTGAATCTGACACGTCTCAACTCTGTTCCACCGCCAGGCAGCTTAGAGAGCGTGATGTACACCCCCTGCTCCGGCTGCTCCACCCACTCGTTCTCATGCAGCTTGCGCGTCGACTTCCTGCTTCCTCCCTTGCCCTCCCCGCGTCTACTCGAACTTGTCGACCCAGCTTCACTCTGTGACCCATCCCTGTCATCACCACCCCCAGAGTCCGCCCCTCTACCCTCCTCCTCACACTCAGCAATGCCATCCAAACCATGCATCCGAACTGTCTCCTCTGTCAACACGCCTGGATGCTCCTCACTTGTACAAGCCCCTGTAGCAGCATCAGCAGAGCTTGAAGCTCCACCAGCACCAGCCATGCCAGTCTTGTCCAAGCCATTGATCAACAGTCTCCCATGCAGTTCCTGCTCGGTGTGTGGGTTTGCAGACAGCAAGCCATCTGCTTGACTCCCATATCTCCCTCCCTCCTCCTCCTCATCAATCCCTTGCTCACCCTGCCCCATGTTCTCTTGCAAAGCTGCATACCTAAAACTTGGTTCCACGTTTTCGTTTTCCCATCCTTGAGAACCCAAGTTCAGCTCTTGCCTGGTCTCGTCAGTAGAACCTGCTTCCCTCACACCACTGCCACCACCACCGTCAACTGACTCATCACCCTCACCTAACGCAGCCTTCCCTTCCCCACCAACGTCCCTCTCCCCTGCCATTCCTCCCAATCTACCAATCAGATTCTCACTCGGCCGCCCATTCCGTTCCTGAACCAAACTCTCTCTCCCGCCGCCCAGACTCTCTCTCATCCCACCCACACTGCTTCTGCTGCTGAGCCCAGGCACAGCAGGCAGGCTCCTCCTGCTGCTCGGGCCAGGAACATGAGGAGGCACAGCTGCACTGGGAGGCAGAGTTCCCACAGAGACACCTACAGGAACGCGCTCAGGAGTGGTCTCCCGCTGCCGCAGATGCGTCCGCGACTCATGCAGCCGCACCAGCGACGGCACCATGCGACTCTTGCTCTCCTGCTGCTGCTGCTCGCTGCTCACGCCCCGTGGCGCCTCAAACACAGGCAGTGTCCGCCGCTCCTGCCTCTCACCCGTCGCCCCTCCACCCCTGCTGCCAAGATAACCCCCCTGGGAATTTCTCAGGCTGAGACCATCCAGCTGAGCGCCAGAGCTGCCCCTCTCCGCACTTGCTTCTGTCCACCGTGCTGGAGCCTCAAAGGGTGAGCTTCCCCTGACTGACCCCCCCACTCCCACGCTCTCACGTGCGCTAACATCCACACTGGAGCCTCCCCTTGCCACGCCCGCCCCTGCCACACCAGAAAACGAGCCTGCCTCTCTCCCTCCCACTGCTCTTGCTGCGGTTGCTCCCTCTGTCGCTCTCCCCCCACCAATCCACTTGGAACGAGGTGATATCTTATCAGACGAGGCCCCTGTAGGGGTCCAAGGCACTCCTCCCTCATGCTGCGCCTCCACCCCGCACCCCTCACGCACCTCACTCCCACCTGCGTTCCCCTGCCATGGGTGCTGCTGCTGGTGGCTGGGTACAGCAAGGACCAGCTCAGGAAATCCCTTGCCACTTGCTTCCCCTCTGTTATAGCTACCCAAAGAGGAGGACACGAGGAAGCCTCTGGTTGGACGCGAGTTGCCAGTGAGACTTGCTGGTCCAGCTGCCTGGGAAGCAGCACTTGCTTCTGCTGCTCCTACACCTGATGCTGCCGCTGCTCCTGCTGCTGTACCTCCACCCCTTACCCTACACCCCTCAACACTCCCCACAGAAGCACCAGGAGCAGCAGCAAGCGCGGCACCACCGCTCCCTGAAACAGGCAGCGGTGGCAGCTCAACAAGGGACGGGGGCAGCACGGACGACGACAGGAGCAGAGGACCAGTGTAGAGCACTGAGTCATCAACGGCTCGGATCGCCAGACTGGCTTGCTTGACAGGGATGGACGGCGCCTGCTGCAGCAGCTCCTGCATCTGAGCGCACAACACTTGGATGATGTCGCGTGCACCTGCTGCCCTCGCTCCTGCTTCACTGGCCGCTGTCACTGCTGCCTCGACTTGCCTCTGGGCCAGCTCCAGTGTCGCCCTGCGCTCTTGCTCCAGCAGCTGGCAGTGCTGCCGCAGCACCTCCACCTGCAAAGGATGGACACGGGTTTGGTACATGTGAGTGTAAAAAGGTCCCATTCGCTTCACTGGCTGCAGTGACTGCTGCCTCCACCTGCCCTTGAGCCATCTCCAGGGTGGCCCTGCGCTCTAGCTCCAGCAGCTGGCAGTGCTGCCGCAGCACCTCCACCTGCAGGGGTTCAGACACGGGCATGCAAGACAAGAAGCGCAAGTGTGCTTGGATTCGCTCCACTCACTGCCTCAATGCTTCTCTGCACTCATGCTCTGGTAGATGCCAGTTTCTGGCGGAGCACCTCACCAAAAAACCTGCCGTGCCATGTTCTGTGCAACATGGAGGCAGGCAAATGAAGAGCGTTGCGTGCCATGCACAGCGCACATGACTAGCGCACGCGCAGCAGCCGTCACTCACCTCATCCTGCAGGCGGTATGCCTCCCTCTCTGCGTTCTGCTTGGCATGCCGCATGCCCGCCATGGCTGTGTCCCTCTCCGCCTCTGATGCTGCCCACACACAAGACAAACCCACGAACAATGGAGACGATCGGAGAGGCGAATAGTTGAGAGAAGGAGGAACAGCACTGAAGGCACAAAGCCTATGGTAGAAACAGGCACTGGGCCACTCGGAAATGGAATCCCGCCCAGAATGGAGGTGGAAGTCTACCACACAAGATGGCACTTACTTTCTTCCAATGCTTTTGTCATGGCCGACCATCCTCCTCCTTCTCCTCCCTCCACCCCACCCCCTCCTGCTCCTGCAACTTCCACTCCGCCCACCCTCCCAACCGACGATCCTCCTCTCGTCCCTCCACCCCCAGGCAGCGCCACAACGCCTCCCAGGCCCCCCACAGCCCCCATCCCCCCCACTCCTCCAATGCCCCCTGGTCCCACCTGCCCTGCCGCCGCAGCTGCTGCTGCGATGGAAGCAGGGGTGGGCCCAGGCATACGCCCTGCCATAGCAGCAGCCATGGCTGCAGCGGCTGCCGAAGCTATCTGAGCCGCGGTCGGGCTGGAGGCTCGGCGAAGCGGGCTCGTGCCCATCGACCGCCGGAGCATTGGGCTGGTTGACCTCTTCCCTGGGGCTTGGACCGAGGTTCGGAGCGACCGGCTGGTTCGGAGATGGGAGTCGTCAGGTTTGGCGGGAGGTGAAGCGCTGGTGCGGAGGGGAGGAGAGGCGGAGTGGGCATGGGTAGCAGCAGGGAGAGCGGGGAGGGAGGCAGAAACAGAACTGTTGGGCGGGGGGAGGGCACGGGAGTGGGGGGCATGGGAGGGTCCCTGGGTTCCCTGTGAGAGACCTTGTGGGCGTGGCTGCTGGGACAGGTAAGAGGCGAAGGAGGTGGGGACGGCTATGGAGCTCCAGAGTGCTGGAAGGGCTTCGGCGCGAGTGCGGCGGAAGTTAGGAAGGGCATCTGTAGAGGCTGAGACAGATGGTGCATGGGATGCCAGACCCCCTGATACACCCCCTGCTGCTGCTGCTGATGATGTTGATGTTAATGTTGATGATATTGATGATGGTGCTGCTCCGGAGGATAATGCAACTGCCACGTCAGCCAGTGACGGGTCCAGCAGCTTGTCCACATCATTGGACGTGCGCGATTTCTGCCACATGGACTTGCTCCGAGACCGCCAGCTCATCGCAAGGCTAACCGGCGCAATGCTGCCTGCACCTGCTCCTGTACCCATCCCCGCACCTCCTGGCAAACCTCCTCCTGCACTCATCCCACCAACACCACCAGTCTGACCTGCACCTGCTACCCCTCCCCCCGCACCTGCGCCTGCCCCTGCTGCAACCGCCCCTGCCCCTCCCCCTCCCATCCCACCCACACCACCCACAGACCCGTGAACCAAACCACTACCAGCTGCTGCCGCAGCCCCCACAGCACCCCCCACAGCAGCCCCAGCAGCAGCGGCAGCAGCAGCTTTGACCATCTTGGCATGGCAGGAGTCGCATACTCGGTAGGGGCGGGAGGAGGATGGGGCCATGGCTGCTCCGAGCAGCTTGCGGCTGCTACAGGCGTGGCACACGGGTTGGCCGCAGTTGTAGCAGCTGTGGCGGGGGCGCGCGAAGGTGAAGGGCTGGCGGCACTGGTTGCACTGGTAGTTGTCGGCGCCTGAGAAGGGCTTGTGCTGACACACCACGGCTGTGCTGGCCGCCCCACAGGAGACCTGGTCATGGGGAGTGTCGGATAGAGAGCAGGGCCGAGGGCGAAAGCACATAGTGAGGCCTTAACGAAGGAGACGGGAGAGAGAGAGATAGACCATGGAAGAGGGAGAGAGAGAGGGATCATGGAAGAGGGAGGGAAAGAGGGACCATGGAAGAGGGAGAGGGAGGGAGAGGGAGGGAGAGAAAGGCGGCACAACTTACCAGCAGAACGCGTCTGTCTTTGAGGGCAGTGACAGCGGTGGGCACGTCCCTATCCTTCACGTCCCCGTGGCCCAGACGCCCATTGGCGCCCCTGCCCCACGTGAACAGATGCGCTGTGGTGGTGAGTGCTGCCACGTGGTGCGCCCCACACGCCACCTGCTCCACCTGCTTCTGCAGCAATGGGCCGGCCACTCTAGCTGCAAGGGAGAATGGGGGGAAAAGGAGTTGGGGTTTGAGTTGACTCGGAGACTGTTGGCGCCCCTGCCCCACGTGAAAAGGTGCGCTGTGGTGGTGAGCGCTGCCATGTGGTGTGCCCCACATGACACCTGCTCCACCTGCTTTTGCTGCAATGGGCCGGCCACTCGCGCTGGAGAAGAGACGGGGGAGGATGGACACAGGGAGAAAAGAGAGGTCCACATGGAGAATGCATTGGTGGGAGTCGAGACAGAAGCACAGACAGCCTGGTTATCTTACATGGGGGTCTGTCCTACCACGAGAGGTGTGCGACAAAAGCACACAGCAGCAGCAGCAGCAGCAGCACGCACCTGGCAGCTTGCCATCAGCTTGAGGGTTCCCCAGCTGGCCATACTCCGCACTGCCCCACGTGTACACCTGCCCTTCTGCTGTCACCGCCACTGTCACACTCTCCCCGCACGCCACCTGAGGGAGACAGGAGACAACCAGGAGCGGATCAAGAGGCGACCACACAGAGGAACAGCAGACAGACAATGCACACGCGGCAGAAGGGCAAGGTGATTCACAGTAGATGGGACCGAATTTCTAGCCTACCTGCCCTGCCTGGCTTGCCTAGCCTCCTGGACCTGGTAAGGGCACCTGCTGCTGCTGCTACTACTGCTTCAACCATGGCCCGGCTAGTACACGTCCCCATCGCCCCATGTAATCACTTGCTGCAGGTATCCGAGAACTCAAAGGGAACACGAACCTGAGAGCAGCTCTGCTGGTGCAGGGCGTTGACCGCAGCTGGCAGCAGCTGCTGCTGCTTGTGCCCATGGCCCAGCTAATACCTGTCCCCATCGCCCCATGTGAACACCTTAGACATCATCCCAGAATGTTAAGAAACACGAACCTGAGAGCAGCTCTCCTGGCGCAGGGCGTTGACCAGAGTTGGTAGCAGCTGCTGCTGCTTGTCCCCATGGCCCAGCTTGTACCCGTCCCCATCACCCCATGTGAACACCTGCCCACAGCCCCCCATGCCACTGCTGCTGCTGTTGCCCCCACCACTGCCATCGCCTGACGGGCATGTGTCCACTACTGCTGCAGTGTGCCACACTCCGCATGCAACTCTGAGGGTTCGGTAGCCCTGTAGCGCCTGCACTTGCCTGGGCACTGGGACAACCCTGTGACAGGGCGGGTGAGGTAGATTAGGGTCAAACAAGAGAAGCGGATAAAACATCGCCAGCTTGCATGTGCTAGAATTGTGACACATGTGTGCTACATGCATGGCAGGTGTGCGTGCTGGACATGCACTAGGTGTATGCCACCAAGCAAGGTCAGAGACCAAACTCAGTACAAACCCGATCATCCCCATGCCAACTCACTCGCAGTCGCCATGGCCCAGAGCGCCAAACGTGCCATCGCCAAACGTGAACACCTCCCCTCCACCCGCCACCACGGCCACATGCCAGGGCCCACATGCGACCTGCACCACATGCACCCCGTCCAGAGGGCCGCCCAACCTGCGCGGCACCCACTGCGGCATGTCCCCATAACCCCCTGATCCAAGCAGCCCCTGGCACCTGCGCCCGTCCCCCCATATGTACACGTCGCCCCCTCGCGTGAGGGCGCAAGTGAAGTGCGTGCCACACGCCACCTGCCCAAGGAAATGGGGGGACGGAAGGGACGGGCGAGAGTGGTCAGCACTGGGGCATGTCCCCGTACCCGCCTGACCCCAGCAGCCCCTGGCACCTGCGCCCGTTCCCCCATATGTACACATCGCCCCAGCGCGTGAGGGCACACGTGAAGTCCAGACTGCCCTTGCCCTCTCTTGCACGCAACCTTATTCTCACGTGCGCTTGCCAGACGCCTCACCCCACTCCTCACCTGATCCACGCGCAGGCCCCCCAGCGCCTCCACCAGCTGCGGATGCTCCACGTCCTTCTCCACGCCCTGCCCCAGCCTCCCCCCGGACTCCTCCCCCCAGCACAGCACCTCCCCCTGCCGCGTCACCAGCGCTGCATGCTCCTCCGCGCACGCCACCCTGCATATATCCAGCACCACCCCGGATTCCAGCGCTTTCGGCGCCACACTGTCGTATTCCGCCCCCATCACCATCCTCTGCCCGCCCTTCTTTCTCATCCCGCCTCCCCCGAGCGCGCCTTCCCCAAGCCCCTCCCCCCACATGAACAGATCTCCTAGAGCCTCTCCCCCCGCGTCCTCCCCTGCGCTGCTGGTTGTGCTCGGGTGACTTGTCACTGCAGCAGCATCGGCCCACATTCCCGAGGGTGGTTTACCCTGCGCAACAGCTCCAGACTCCGTTCTACTGGAAGCAGAGGATTTGTCCCACCAGGAGGAGGAAGATGAGGACGTGGTGGAAGGGACAGAACTCGTCCCGGGCCCAGCCGCCCCCGCTATAGTCACACTACCACTGGCACCCCCACCACCACCCCCACCGCTCCCAACCCCTCCAGCCCCACCACCACCGTTACTATTCACCCCCAGAATCGACTGTGCATTGGCGGCGGACGCGTGGTTCACAGATAGCACAGAGAAGCCACTGAGAGAGGCGGTGTCTGAGGCATCATCACCATCACTGGAGCGGTCATCTGCTGCTGGGTACGTTGAAATGTCCTGAGCGGACTTGGACGCGGGCATGGGGGCCACGTCTGGGCTCAGCCTGTCCGGCGGACTGGCAGTCGCGGACCCGCCTGCCTGGGGCTGAGTGGGGTGCGGAGGGGTGGAAGGGGATGGGGACAGAAAGGAAGTGTGTTGAGAGGACTTGGACGGGGAAATGAGGCCCGCACAATAACATGAATGCTGAGCGATTTATAGAGTTTCGTGGGGGTGAGATTGAGAAGGAAAGTAAGCTTAAGAGGTAGTCTCTTCCTCCTGGGGCGCCTCATAGAGTACCTTACGGTCCACAGAAAAGAAGGGCGAGGAGTTGGGTGACCAGTCTTGCGTGCCTCTCTCCGCCACCACCACCGCCTGCCTGCCCAACCGTTCCGACTGTGTACGGCGCTGCTTCTCCACGAGCGCTCCAAGCCCCACGAACCACATCTCCGCCTCGTCCGTGTCCTTGCAGATCTGCCACACCATCAATACCACCACCAGCACCAACAGCAGCACACGGAGTCGGGTTCAGATCATACTTCGCTGCGTGCCCTCTCGCTGGGGCTGCCTCGCCCTGGGCCTGCCGCCTGAATGAACGACAGATGAAACCGCACAAGCAGGCGCTCACGGAAACGACAAGGATGAGGCCCTGGATGTTCGGAAAACGTGCAACGGGAGGGATGATACGTACGACGTCGATGGTTCGTTCCCCGTTGCAGAAGATGATGGAGAAGGACTGGTTCTCCTTGTCGGGCCTTAGGTGCCGGTGGAATATGGCCTGCCGACACACACGTACGCAGCACGGACGCACGCAAGCACGCACACAAGGACACACGCACGCATGCACGCATGCACGCACGCACGTGCAAGCAAGCAGGCAGGAGGAGGAGGAGCTGGTGTTACGACGGGCAGCAGCAAATGCGAACTGAAGAGGTGCATCCGCGATATGGGGAATCAGAAACGGCTTTTGAGAGCTTTGAGACGTATCACAACATTCGAAAACGGGTTATACTCACTGTCTTCTGGCCCCACGCGATCGTGCTGACTGCGGAGAGAGGAAGCGACTTCTCCCGGTCCCCCGAGAGATACACCAGCTCGGACTCGTCCTGCAGCGCAAATAGTGGGAGGACGCGGGACACGATCGTGGTAATCCATGCAAATGCAACGATCAGCCACGCAAATGCTGCGGTAAGCCATGCATAAGTAGCGATAGGGTGGGCGATCCGGCGATCACTGCGTATCACTTCGACTCGCGATCGCATCTTTGCTGAATACGGAACCTCACAACGACCCACCCCCCTTACATCAGTGTATAACAGAATCTCGCAGCCTTCACGAAGAAACACGCCCTAAAAAAAAAAAAGCCTGCGCCGAGCAGCAGAATGTGCGAATCCGAACAGCTTTTTACGAAGAAAAACGACAGACGATGCTACGGAAAGGGATTAACGTACGGCAGACAGGCGAAAATAGCAGGCTCGCGGCCTTCCCAGTCGGCCATACTTCAACAACCGCGTCCCTTTCTTCATTGCAATGACCGCCTGCAAACAGGACGTCGGTACTCCAATGAGCAGCAATCCGCGGAACCCTAACGACTGGCAGAATGGAAAGCAGTCAAACCCTAATCTGAGTATTCCCTGAGGACTGACCTGCTCTATATCGCGGTCCGAGAATCCCCTCTTATAGCTATCAGCCACGCGAGGCTGACCCATCCCCTTAAGGGTCTTAGAGGACGGAATCATTCTGTGGGTTAAACTAATAACGTGTTTATCAGTCAGGATTAAACAGTCACGACCAGCCTACGACGATCCAGCTGCAAGTTGATTCGTGCAGTGCACCGTGTACACAATAAAGGCCCGCTGCCTGAATGCATCCCGACGACGTAAAGTCCCGATTCACAAACTGTCATAAACAATATCTATCAGATCGGCAGCGCGGCAGGACGAATGAACTCAGGCCTCCACGCGCTGAAGATAGGAGTAAGATCGACATGAGCAGCCAATGCATCACTCGGATGAACAGAGCCTGGAGCATGGATCCTGAAACCACTAGAAGTCCACTCCTAAAAATCCTTACAATTGCCGGTGGAAAAGGCGAATGTGGACGAATGGTGCGTAGGATCCATTATATGTGTCCTTCGTCAGCAGAAGCTGGCCAGATGACTGTTTCGCTACAGGCTCACTGTCAGTGAGTGGAATGAGAGAATTCAGGCTGATCGAGAGAACAGGATTAGGAGGAAAGGGGGGAACAGCAGCACATCCTTTTGGAGTCTCAGAAACTCTGTCGGTTGTGTCGATGACGGACGGACGACAGACGGAACGGGAAGCTAACGAGAGCTGACGGAACATCTGTTTGTCAAGTCGATGGAGGGTTGTGATTCGCTCTGGTTGGCGAACTGGTGTGGCTGTGCCTCAAACCAATGACATGCTGGCTCTGAACTGTGCAGGGCTAGGCCCGCGAAAACTATGTCAGATGCCGTCACCAAACTAGTGTTTCACCGCTTTGGGCAATCTCGATAATACATACCAGCATATGACTAGAGTCTCAAGATATACAACCCTAGACAACCGTAAGGGCGTGTGCACTTAGGGCGAAATTTGTCAGAGTTCGAACATTCCCGTAAGGGCGTGCGCACCGTGGCGAAACGTCTCATATTAGTATCGTACCGAGTAGAACCTCGCTAAAAGTTCGAGCTTAGGCAGAAGTTCGAACGCCTAGTGCACACGCCCTAAACCTGAATCGAGCAGGTGTATCAGGTTCTTACGACGTGTTTGCGACCGACGCGGTTTGGGTCTGGTCGAGTCGACCTGGTCGACCAGACCCAAACCGACCAGACCCTCGGAAACGCGATTCAGGAAAGTAAAAAAATTCTCAACTTTTTCCTGACATCTTCGAGGGTGTTGCGAAGCAGTTGCCGTACGAGGCGACGATGGCCTCGGCGACCTGTGGCGAGCTATGGCAAGATTTGCGCGAGTTTACCTGGTATCTTCTCTCGCGGCGAAATCAGGGCGAAAGCTGCGCGAGAGCTGCAAATTTCGTAGGATCAGGTAACCTGCTTCACCTCGGTTGGGTTGGGTCTGGTCAACCAGGTCGACTCGACCAGGTCGACCCGGGTCTGGCAGACCCGACCTGATCCGGTTGCGTCGACCTGGACGGCTAGACCCGCGACGCAGCCTTCCTAGAAATGAGGGTTCGGGGGCCGGTCGACCCGACCCATGTGGGTCGCAGCACGTCGCTAGCAGGGAGGATTGCGGTCTGCCCGAGATTAAGGGTGTGTTCCAGATGGCTAAAGAGTACCGTCGTCTTGGAGTATCAGCGCCCTACGGCGCCAAGAGTGCGTGGGCTGGATGGACCATTTTTTTTGCACTGTTCTTTCGTGACTATGCGCCCTTTCGTGACTGCCTCCTTAACTTCAATCAAAACACGGATCTCCAGATGGATCCCTGCGCGTGCACCAGCGTCCACAGAAGGCAAGTGTCTCGTGATGTCTGGTCTGGTGATCATTGCCTCTCTGACGTGTCCGTCCTCGCTTCGCTGTTACCTCGTTCAGCAAAAATGATTTGCTGAGGGGGTGGTCAACGCAGGAATGGAGGTGGTGTAATTTCAACGAGGTACACCCTCTCTCTCTCGCCAGACTAACAATGGGAAGCACTGGCTACAGTGATTACTGCTGCTTGGACACTAGCGATCTCGTGATTGCAACCGAGCCCCAGGTAGGTGGCGGGCAAATCCACTTTGGTGGAATGGTACACAACGCTTTATGGAAGAAAACTTGCTTTTGCGTACGGTTGAGTGCGGCATTTGTGCTTATATGGTATGTTTTGGGACCATCCTGGACGCATGATGTCAGTACAGCCGGTCCATCAATATGGCAAATGACCGTGTGGCGCGAAAGAGGGTGTACTGTACAGTAGCACTTTTCTTTTCTGCACCAATGTGGCCTGCCCCAACCTTTACTGTACATGCGTGAATACAGTAGCTTCTGGTTTTTAAAGCGCGCGGTCTAAACAGTTTTCGTGTGCACTCTACAGATTTTTTTTTTCGCCCGGTGCCCTTTCGATCGAGACGAGCACCCAACAATGCCTCACGACGACTCTCTCGCTGGAGGGCGGACCCTGAACTGAAACCACAGAAATGCACGTTCTTTGGTGCTTCTTGGATTGAAGACTTGGGTCCGCCAACCGCTCTGTCCCGTCTGCCCTGGTCCTGGAAACCCCATGTGTCCATCTCGTGAAGGACCGAACCACGCGAGTACACACAACAAGCCAAGGGTAAAGGACGTGTGCTCCCATAAAAAAGGACCTCACATGCCTCTAGACTAGATGCTAGAGCGCTCAACCTGGTGGACAGTGTGTTGCAATCTGAAAGGCTTGAGCAGGAATTCTCAAGGTGTTGTCCGAAACTCCACGATACGAGATAGTCCTTTATGGTAGAACTTGCGGACAGTGAGCCATACTTGCAACGAGAGTTCAGGCGGTGTTTTGTGCCTCGTAGCGCCTGTTGCCATAGGGAAAGCCCAGCGATAGCCAGCACCAACCGAGATTCTCCTCAGATTCTATCAGGGCGAAACCCGTACGAGGCTTCCTTGAATTCCTTCAGCGCAATTCTCCGAGGCCAATATCTAGCGACACAGACACGCGAAGAGGACAGATTGATTGAAGGAGGCATTATAACTTATTTATAGGTCTCGTGTAACAGTAGTGAACCCATAAGCTCTAATTATCTTGTAAGAATATGGAGGCGCGCGAGATCAACTCCTTCTACAGTTCTCATGGCCTCAATTCCCGCAGCACCGCTTCTCACGCCGCCACCAGTAGCAGCACCGCCGGCAGCGGTAGCGGCGGCGGCGGTGGCGACGGTGGCGGTGGTGGCGCACGCAACGATGGCCGACGCGCGCCAACTAACAAGCTCGAGCCGCAACCAGCACGCGACGCGGGCGACGCGCGTCAACTAGCGGTTGGACGTCGCGGAAATGGCGTTAGTACCACTGCCACTGCCTCGTCGTCCCTCCTTGACCGCCGCAACCGCCGCTCCCTCGCCCCATTGAACACTGGTGGATCTAGTACTAATACAGGCCGCGCTGTCAGCAACGCGAACCCTAGCAGCAGCAGCAGCAGCAGCAGCCGAAGCGCTTGGAGTAACGCTGCGCGTATCGCCAGCTCGTCGATCGCCGCGATTCACGGCGAGCCGGTTTCCGCGAGAGGAGTGCGCCGCGGTCCAGCCGTCTGGGAGGAGCAGCAGCCGTCAGGCAGCCGGTCGGCGCGTTACGTATCAGCCGTCAACGTTGACGACGACGACAGAATGCGGTATTCCCCGCCACCCCCCCCGCTTCAACGAGAACCCCTTGCGCCGCGCCTTAAGGTCGCTAACCCGCCTGACGACAGCACATCGCCTACTAACGACGCGATAACGCCGCGATCCATGCCGGGATTCGCGTCTAGACGGCCGGCTAACTCTCGCGCGCGAAGCGGCCCATTAGCGCCTCGACGGAGACCAAGACACGACGCCGCGGTTCGCGGCATGAGAGATGGCGACGTGGCGCGCTACGACGATAGCGGGTCGCGATCTGCCAAGCTGGCGTATCTAGCGGGATTACCGTGGACGCCGACAAGCGGTTCGAGCGGGACGTTACCGTTGGAGAGTCCGAAGGACAGTCGCGCGATTCGTCGCATGAAGAGTGCGACGAACGTGCAGACCGAGCTGCGATCGAGCGCCGCGTCGCCGAAGGCCGTGCGACGGAAGAAGCGAGTCAGTATCGACCTCCAACCCACGACGCTTGACCCGCCCTGCCCTGGCCACTCCACAATTTCCCTCTCTTCCTCCTCCTCCTCCCCTTCCTCCTCTTCCCCTCATTCTCATACTTCCCGCTCCCCTTCCTCTCGTCCCCCGCCCCAACGCGCGTCGTTTCCCCCCCACCTTGTCTCTGTTCCTGCCGCTTCCGCCTCCTCCGACGCGCCCTCCCCTGGTGCTGACGGCGCTGCGTCCGTTTCTCCGTCGCCGCGCCGCGCGCGCTGCTTGAACTCGTCTTCTATGCCCTTAGATCTCTTTTCTCCGTGTCGCATAGCGAGTACAAGCCTGTATCGCCACCGGCCGACTAAGAGTCATGGCGGCGGTGTGGAAAGCGGCGATTCGCGCAAACTTTCCTTCCCCCGCCCCTTGCTCTCTCCCCCGCTTCCGCTCCCCCCTTCCGACGGGTCGTCCGCCGTCCCTTCCCCCGAGTCCAAATCCGGCGGAACGGGCAGCGGAAGCGGGCGGAGCTGTAGCGCAGGCGGCGGAACCGGCGGCGGAACTGGGGGCAGGGAGGGCGGGGAAAGGGCGGGAAAAGGGGAGCGGCCGTGGCATGCGCCGATTGACCCGTCCCCAACCACTCCGCTGCAGCTGAAGCTGAGTCCGTCCGCGGGGGAAGAGGGGCGCGACGCGGAGACGGCGGGGAGGAGCGTCGCGCGGGGTGCGCCGGAGGGGAGAGATGGCGGAGAGTTGGAGGCGCCTTCGGGGGGAGAGTTTTCCGCCGCTTGTGCGTCCGCCGGTTCGTTCTCCGCCAGAACTTGTAGCGGAGGCGGCGGGGATAAACGCGCTGCTGTACCTGCCCAGCTAAAATTATCTCTGCCCGGGTCTGGGTCTGTTGCTCCTCTTGACGAGAGCCTGTTTGAAGTGGAAGAGGAAGGGGAAGGGGAAGGGGAAGAGGAGGAGGAGGGGGAAGAGGAGGAGGGGAGGGAAGAGGAGGAAGCAGAAACAGAAGAAGAGGAGGGGGCAAGAGTGGAGAGCGAGGGAGCAAGTGGGGATATGGATGAGAATAGGGATCATATGGGGGAAGTGGAGGAGGAGGAGGAGGAGGAGGAGGAGGAGGAGGAGGAGGAGGAGGAGGAGGAGGAGGAGGAGGAGGAGGAGGAGGAACGGGACGATGGCAAAATATTGCATACTGCAGCCGAAGCTACTGCCGCTACTGATGCTACAGCATGTGAAGCAGCTCCCAGCGTGTCTGCGCATGACCTAAGATCGGCCTCTGTGCCGGCTGCCGTGTCCGAAGCACAGCCACACAGCAAGCACGAGCACCACCGCTCACGCTTCTTTCACTCCGCCTCTGGAAAACTCACCGCGTTTTTTCAAAAGCTGCCCAAAAAACTGCCCAAAAACATCCACCTCCTGCGGTCCCCGCGCGGTTCGTCCGGGCATGCAGCCGCCCATGACGTGCGCCTCACGCCGCCCCAACCGCTCCTTCCCCTCAAACCGCTTGCCACTCCAGTCCACGCGCTGCCGCCCGATGCCGCCCCAGCCCGCCCCCTGGCGCCTGCTGAAGCTTCTCAGCAGGTGCAGCAGGGCCGTGTGGTTAGGCCCTTGGAGGAGGCTGGGCGGAGAGGTGAAGGGAAGGCGCGGCAGGATTGGCAGGGGGAGAGCGAAGAGGAGGTCGATGAGAGAGAGGCTAGTGAGGAGGAGGAGCGAGGGGGCAGTGTGGTGCAGAACAGGACTGAGCGGCGCGAGCAGAGTGCAGGCAGCGGCGAGAGTCCCTGCAGTGTGATTACCAGCAGCAGTAGGGTTACCAGCAGTACCAGCAGTCGGGTTACCAGCAGCACACGCAGCAGAGATGGTAGCCTTGGAAACAGCAATGCGTGCACTCCAGAGGAAAAGGAAACCACCGCTGCTGCGCTTCAGAGTGCCTCTCAGTCAGCCGCTTGTGCTGCTGCTGCTGCTGCTGATGATGCTCCCAGCAGCACCACTGCTCCCACCGCTGCTGAGTCCTTGAGCGCTGCTCTTGCTGCTGATTCCAAAATCACCCCTGCTGCTGCTGATGCTGCCAACGGTGCCACTGCCACTGGCGGTATTCTCAAGGGCGCACACTTGGGCTTGAGCCGGGCGGCGGATCATATCTTGGGGCAGGCGTACGAGGATCTGAGCGAGAGATACGCGGTGGAGGGGCGGCAGCTGGGCAGCGGGCAGTACGGCGTGATTCGGCGGTGTGTGGAGGAGGGCACGGGGCGGGTGCTGGCGTGCAAGACAATCGACAAGCGGAAGATCAAGGTGGGATTTTCTTCGAAGCTACTGCATCACAATGTGTGACTTTTTTTCTTTTTCCTTTTCGCTTTGTAGCTAGAATTCCACGTTTCATTTGGGGGCGATGATTGATGCCTACCACATACACCTCTCCTCCCCGTTTCCTCTCCTCCCCCCTCCCCCTCCCTCTCCCCTTCTTTACCAGACGCCAGCTCAAGCCAGTGACCTGCGGAGTGAGGTGGCAACCCTGCAGCTGCTGCATGGGCACCCATCAGTCATCACACTCATCGATGCTGTTGAGGACCCCCACCACGTGCACCTGCTGATGGATCTCTGTTCAGGCGGCGACCTATTCGACCGCATCTCGCTGGGCGGCGCGCTGAGCGAGCAGTGCGCGGCCGGCGTGTGTCGGCAGCTAGCGGAGGCGCTGCTGCACTGCCACTGGCGGGGCGTGGTGCATCGAGACGTGAAGCCAGAAAATATCCTCCTGGTGGGGGGGCGAGGAGGAGAGAAGGGAGGTGAGAGAGGAGCGAAAGCCGTGGCGGAAGGAGGAGAAGGAGGCAACGGCAAGATGCAAGACGCCAAGGCTCCGCGGATCAAGCTTGTGGATTTCGGAATCGCGCGGTTCTTCCGAGACGGGGAGAAGATGCGCGACTGCCTGGGCACTCCCGAGTACATGGCTCCGGAGCTACTCCTGGGGTCGTACGGGCCTGAAGTGGACGTGTGGAGTGCGGGCGTGGTGACGTATATAGCCATCTGTGGGCATCCGCCCTTCTGGGCTTCGGCGTCCATGGGCCAGTCGCTGCAGGAGGCGATTCTGACCAGGGATGTCACGTTTGCGACGCCTGGATGGGTGGGTGTTTCGGCGGGGTGTAAGGAGCTTATAAGGAGGATGCTGCATAAGAATCCGCGGAAGAGGATTACGCTTCTGGAGGTGCTTGGTGAGTGCTGGTGGTTCCTATCCATCTGTCCTCTGTTTCTCCAATCATGCTACTGTATCTGCATTTCTTGCGCCACATACACCACCGGACACTGTACGTCCCACCGCATTCACCTACCTGCACCATAGGCCCCCCCGCCATATGGATCTCGCATGAGTGCTCATCCTTCCTCCCCACGCGTCGTCCCGATTGCAGGTCACCCCTGGATACGCAGCAGCGAGAGCAGCTGAAGAGCCCCTGAACAGCAGCGAGAGCAGCTGAAAAGCCCCTGAACAGCACTGGGAGCTAGTTATAAGGCAACGAGGCAACAAGGGCAGCAAGTCACCCAGAAGCTGCAGCGCTGCTGAGGGCAGCCGGTGGGCACAGAACCACACATATAACAAGTTCACTCACCGAATGAGGTAACATGAGTTACACAAGCAATATCCTCCACATAATCATGGAGGTTACATCACCTATTTAAAGCCAGCAGCTAAAATAGTGAACCCCCCCTTCTAATTGGGTCCACTTGGAAACACAAGTTTCTTCTTTGGGTTGCGAAGCAACCCTTAACGATTGATTTTGACAAATTTTCTTTTCATGTTCTTTTTTTACATGAAAATAAAATTCGTTAGCTACAATACCACCCCTCCCATTGTGCATTTTTTTATTGTACTTGTTTTTTTTCTTATATGCTATCCTGTTTGCATTACCGTATATCTTTTACTGTTTGATGTTGTTGTGATAATTTCATCTATTGAATGTTATGAATATTAGTAATGAAGTACACACCATGCATGCTTAAATGAATTTAATGCGGCAAGATATATAGATGCATAATTACTGATACATGGATGAAAATGCTTTGGCATGAAGCGAAATGCTGAAATGCAACATATGGTATATCATACAAATGCGTGATAGTTAACCACCCAAAAACTAGGCTACCGCATCCCCTGCCTAGCATGGGGGGGAAGTCAATAGCAAAGTCTTTGAATAATCAACTAGCACATGAAAAAATACAATCTGTTAACTCTAAAAAAGAGGTTCACACTATCGAATCCAGTTCAAACTGGCAAACACACGAGTCAGTGAGTGCGCCAATGAACCAATGAGAAATGATAGTAATGAACCCCCTTTTTAAAATTGACAGACATGCATTGACATTGCAATGATGGATGAGATGAATGCACTCACACAAACAAACACATTCACACAATCAGAGGCACGAAAACCAGCAAACCCAGCCAAATGTTGGAAACAATAAGTCTTAGTGCGCTTCTGTCGTGTCGAAACCCAAGACACTAGCGAAGCAGTCCGAATCGAAGCATCGAGTCAAACCTCGGAGGTTAGGGTAACCGCCTGGAGGTTACGAGAAAGTCAAAGGTCAGCGACCTTTGACTCGACAATTACAGCGCGACAGTTAAGGACACACAACTGACTCGTTACAGAGAAGTTGCCCGAGTCGCACTGTATCGAATCGCAACAGCAATACAATTATCTATCTATTCGTATTCCTTGTACCCTTATATAAAACCTTGTATTTGCTTGTTTGATTTAATCTACTTTGCTCTCACACACTACTGCAAGGTCGGTTCACAAGATTCATTAAACGCTTCCGCTATTACAAGTTTCCTACCCAGAGTTATCCTCTGCAAAGATCCTTAAGGGCCTTCTCAGCCCAACATGGTATGAGAGCTGACAGGGGAAACTCTAAACTTTTTATATTACAAGACATGGCAACAAACAAGGAAAGGAGCTCCCCTAATGGCTCCTCGGGCACTACTCCTACTCCACCACCAACCTCTGGCCTGCAAACAGAGGAAGGCACGGCAGTAAGACCAAGGGGAACGTCAACCGAGACCCCCACGAATCACCCTTCTGACTTCGACCAGAGCATGATGGAGAAATTCTTCTCCTTCATGTCCTTCTACGAGCAACACCAGCAGTCGGGACCTGCACAGACACACAACAGCAACAACGGAGCGACACCCATGAGCCTTGATGGGTCGTCATATGCGCGAGGGAATCAACAGCAGCAACCCACCTTCGCCCCGTACGAGCGCGGGTCGATCAGCTTCCTGCCTCAACCTTCACCTGCGCAAGACAAACCAATGGACGCGTTACAAGTTCAGTCGCAATTCCCGCATGTTTTGAAATTACAAACGTCAAGACCTTTCGACGGAAAGGACTTCTGTCAGAGTATTATAGCTGATGCATGTTTGTAGGCTATAGTGGGGTAGCACATATGGGGTACAGGGTTTCTAGGGTTGTATTTGTACCCAATCTTTCCTTAGTCATTCTCATTCCTGTTCATTCTTTTCACATGGTATAGAGCGGGTCCCTCCTAAGGACCGTTTTTTTTTAAGGGCCCACCCACGATTTTTTTTCTGCCCGGAGCGCGCCCTATTCTCCCCGAGGCGCGCTCCCCCTAGTGCTTGTCGCGCTGCCCTTGTGGCGCCCCGAGAGTCGCGCGCGCGACTCCTTTTTTTTTTTTCGCGCGCGCGGCCCGGGTCCCACGTGGCGCTGGCCTTAAGGCCGCGCCGCGCCGCCCTCTCGGCTCTGCCGCGCCGCGCCGCCCTCACGCCGGCCGCGCGGCCTCTTCGTCGCTGCAGCGGGCCCCGTCACCTGACGGCCCCGCCGTCCTACTCCCGGCCCCGCCGCTGCACCCTGCCGGCCCCGCCGCTGCACCTCTGTCGGCCCCGCCGCTGCACCCTAAAGGCCCCGCCGTCCCCTGTCACGGCCCTGCCGTCCCCTGTCACGGCCCCGCCGCTGCACCCTGACGGCCCCGCCGTCCTCTGTCCCGGCCCCGCCGCTGCACCCTGCCGGCCCCGCCGCTGCACCCTGACGGCCCCGCCGCTGCACCCTGACGGCCCCGCCGTCCCCTGTCCCGGCCCCGCCGCTGCACCCTGCCGGCCCCGCCGCTGCACCCTGACGGCTCCGCCGTCCCCTGTCACGGCCCCGCCGCTGCACCTTGCCGGCCCCGCCGCTGCACCCTGACGGCCCCGCCGTCCCCTGTCCCGGCCCCGTTCTGCACCCGAGCCGCCCTGCCGCCGAGCCGCCCGGGAGCCGAGCCGCCCTGCACCCGAGCCGCCCTGCCGCCGAGCAGCCCGAGAGCCGAGCCGCCCTGCACCCGAGCCGCCCTGCCGCCGAGCCGCCCGGGCGCCGAGCCGCCCTGCACCCGAGCCGCCCTGCCGCCGAGCCGCCCGGGAGCCGAGCCGCCCAGCAGCCGAGTCGCTGAGTCGCCGAGCCGCCCTTCTGCAGAGTTTCCCGGCCTGCCCTGCCTGGTGAGCACAGTTGCACTATCACTGCGTGCTCTTCCCCTCCTGCTTGCACTGCTTCGCTGTCATCGTCATGGCTACTCCTAGTGTCCTAGCTTTTGACGCTGAGGGTCGCGCCATTGATTTTGAGGTCTGGTTAGACGACCTGCAGCTGTTCTTACAGTGCGACAGGGCTGACAGCCTTTCTCTCTTTGACCTCACCTCTGGCGCCTCTCCTGCTCCTGCTGCTGATGCTGATCCCACTGTCCGCTCTCAGTGGGCCACCCGCGATGCTGCTGCACGTCTTGCTGTGCGTCGCCACCTCCCTACCTCTGAGCGTGCGCACTTTAGTCAGTACAAGAGTGCTCAGACCTTGTACGACGCTGTAGTTGCGCGCTACTCCTCCCCTGCCACTGCTGCACTGAGCCGTCTCATGCTTCCCTACCTCTTTCCTGACCTCTCTGCCTTTCCCACTGTCGCTGACCTCATTACGCACCTCCGCACTAGCGACACTCGCTACCGCGCCGCCCTTCCTGCTGAGTTCTGCGCTAAGAACCCACCCCCCATGTACATCGCTCTCTACTACGTAGTCGCGCGCCTCCCTGACTCCCTTCGCGTCGTCAGGGACCACTTTCTCGCAGTCTGTCCCACCACCCTCACCGTCGACCTCCTCGAGAAGGCCCTCCTAGCAGCGGAGAAGAGCATAGTCGCTGTAGGTGCTTCTCGTGGTGACCCTCGCACCCCCATCTTTGAGGGGTGCTCTCCTTCCCCCTTGCTGCCTTCTGTTGCCTCTGCTGTTGCTGCCAACCTGCTTGGTCTTGAGTCGGTCGGCGCGTCGTCTACCCCTAGTGGGAGACGTCGCTCCAGCAAGGGCAAGGGGGGTAAGGGCGCGGGTGGAGCTGGAGGAAGCGGTGGCGGTGGCGGCGGTGGCGGCGGAGGGAGTGGGGGTGGCGGCGGGACTAGTGGCGGGGGTGGTGGTGGTGGTGGCAGCAGCGGCGGAGACGGTAGTGGTGGTGCCAGCGGTGGTGGTGGAGGCAGCGGCGGGGGTGGAGGCGGCGGAGGTGGAGGGGGTGGAGGCGGCAGCGGAGGAGGCGGTGGTGGTGGAGGAGGTGGAGCTGGTCGAGGTGGTACCCAGCAGCGTAGCGGCGGTGGTGGTGGCCAGCGCTCGCAGCGGCAGCAGCAGCAGCGCTCGCGGGACATCCCTCCGCCTCAGCAGCTTCGTGAGTGGTACGCTGGGCGTCAGAGGGGTGGGGGTACTGGTCCCTGCACCTACGTTCTTCGTTCTGGCGACCGCGCGGGTGAGCAGTGTGGGGGTGCCCACGCCACCCAGCGCTGCTTTGGCCGCCTGACGGACGCTTGGCGTCGGCAGTTCCCTAGGGCTAGTGAGATCCCTCGCTGGGATGAGCTTCTAAGGGCTGGTGTAGCGATCTTTGATCTTGATTTTGATGCTATCCTTGCTGCTATGTATGCTGTGGATTATAGTGAGGAGAATGAGGGTTACCGGTGTTTCCAGCCCGACCCGGGCATTGGTACTGCTGCGCTAGGTGCTTGTGAGGCTGCTGCTCTAGGTGCTAGTGCGACTGCGCTCTCAGGTACTGGTGAGACTGCGCTCTCAGGTACTGCGTCGCCCTCGTCCTCCCTCACTTTCACACTTGACTCCGGGGCTTCTCGCTCCTTCTTTTGAGACCGCACTACCCTTACGCCGCTCGGCCGGCCGGTTGCGGTCTCCCTTGCTGACCCCTCTGGGGGTCCTGTCCTTTCTCACTTCTCCACTGTCCTCCCGTGTCCGGCTGCCCCTTCGGGCACCCTGTCTGGTCTGTACCTTCCCTCGTTCTCTACGAACTTGGTGAGTGGAGCGGACCTGCAGGATGTGGGGGTTCACCAGTTCACTCCTGCGAGTCAGCGGGTGACCCACTGCACGGAGGCACGCACAGGCCGACACCTGGCCACGTTCTCGCGTCGGCCGGGGTTGAGTCTCTACACCCTGACCG